GTTCAAACCCACTGCCTTTTCATTACCTTTTTCCTTCTTGCAGATAATTTGTAATTATTTTTTTTAATGATGTTTTGTGTAATGTTGTGTAGACTAATAAATTACAAACAAAAAACTTTGGTTTGGTTATTTTAATATAACTATCATCTAAAAACGTTAGTTTTAATTTTTTTTATTTTTAAGATAAAGATGTTGATTAATTCGGTTGAAAGCAATTGGAAAACTAATAAGTGCTTGGTAATTGGTAATTTATTTAAAAGTTTAAAAGTGCTTGCAAGCACTTTTTGAGTAATTGGTGCTTGGTAATTGAATTTTTTAATCGTCTCGTTAATTGGTAATTGCAAGCACTTAGAGTTTTCAAAGTGCAGGAAGCACTTTTTTAGTGCCAGCTCTGTTACCGAGTATTGTAATATTTTTGTTGTGTTTGAAGAATGCAGTCACTTAGCCTGTCTGTGTGTCAATGTAATGTTTATATTAGTTTACTCCTTGCTTCTAGGTAAAATATATAATCCCTAAAAGGTAAAAGTAACGAATTTGACACTTTTTAATATTGTTGTTTGTTGTCATGATGATTAAGAAGTACCACTTTATAAGTAGGCTATGTTGCCATTTAAAAAAATATGTATCCCTATATCTTTTAAACAACGAAGGTAGATTTTTCATACACCTTCAGAGGGTGCGCGACTTTTTGGACACCCTGTATATTTATGTATACTATAATTTATCATATCCCTAGCGGTTTCGTAGTCACGGTGACGTCGCGGTGAATATACGGCCGATTTACTTTCCCATTAATCGATGTCCTTTTACGGTTACACTATAGTCGATTCACAGTGCATAATAAGTTTGCTTGTTTCATTTGCTAATCAAGTATATATGTTGTTTTATGGTCGAATTGACGTTGCTTGGGCGTCGATGTATAGTTTTTCCAACGTTGTTCTACTGTTAGAGAGTCTTTTTACTGTGATTTTTTTGCGATGAATATTTTTTTAATTTATATATATATACAGGGTGTCCCAGAACTCGCGCCACAGAGAAAAAGGGGGCGTGCCGATAGCAATGGAGATGCCAAATTTAAAAATAAAAAATTTCTAGGTAATAGTGTAATCGAATGAGAGCAAAAAAGCGGCAGCCAATACCGAGAGATCTCGCCTAGGTTAAACGTAGGAGCTTTAAAAATTGCTAGGAGACGATAGAACATTGTTGTCTTAAAAACATTTAAAAATCTTTTGGCCAACTGTATTTACTAAGTTGTCAAAAGCTTTCAAAAAATGAGGTTATTAATCTATGACTGATACTTCAGAACGCCAATGTTTTAAAGTAAAAAATCAAACCAGTTGTACTTTATTTAGCTTTTTTTGCGCCCACGCTCCCCATAAATAGTTATCATTTCGGTATAATCATCAAGGAAAACATTATTTATAATAACTTAATTTATTACCTAATACAATATTAATGACAAAAGTAAAGATTGACAGCATTGTCAATAATAACTTAATTTATAACCTAATATAATATTAATGACAGGAGTAAAGATTGACAGCAGTGTTACAATGAATTGGATTCCAGTGGACCAAATATTTTACATATTTTTTATTACCAACAATGCAACCTAAGTATCCTAGCAATTTAAAGAATTCCCTGTGGTGATATATTGGAATTGGCTATCGTTTTTTATTCTTATCTCCCTTATCCTTTGCGTTGGACAATTTGAATTTTTAAATATGTGTTTCAAATTACTTTCGGTACGTTCCCTTTTTCTCTGTGGCGCGAGTTCTGGGACACCCTGTATATTAGAAAGTTTTTCCTCTATCATTTTAGAATTAGTGCCATTTTTTTTAATAAAAAAGTCATTTAAATTTTTATAAGTAAAGTAGAAATTTTAAGCCGGTTGTTCCTGACCTACGACAAATGACTAAAATTTGCTTGCACAGTGGGTAATACTCTACATTTATTAAAAATTTACATTTATGTTATCATTGATTACTTGTTGATAATTGTATTTTGTACTCAGCTTATTTTTAGGGAATTTGAATAAAACAATACTTACTTTTTATTGTTAGGTATATCGAGGTTTCCGTGGTTTTCCCGTCGATTTTAAATTTAACCTTTCATATTTTACGTCTATTGATGCTCATGTAGCTATCTTTGGATAGCCTGAACGATTGTGCGATAATCAGGATGATCCTTATGGGGAAAAGTCTCCGCATACAGTTGAGCGGCAAGGTTCGCGTTTTCATGGCATTTTCCATAAAATATGACCATTCCCATACTGGGCGTTGGTAAATACCATTGAGTATGCGTTAAATAATGCGGACGTACGAGTATCAAAAATAATAACAACAATAACAACCGAACTATCAGTTTGTGGTTTAGTTTGTGTCATGCCATTTGCATTTATTAAAATGCGGTGTGGCATATTTGGATGCAATTCGGACAACCAGTCCAAGAAAAACCCTTTGAATAAAAACATTAAATTTAATCGATTCCCAAAAAACTTTGATTTGTGGAAACAGTGGTTAAATGTCACAAAAAGAATAGACACTATTAACGTTAAGACCTCTTCTGTTTCCGATAAACATTTTTTGGACAGTGACTATAAGTTTAATTTAAAACACCAACGCTTAAACTACAGCTCTAAATGTTATCAAGGACTGAAAGCATCTATTATCCATATTATAACACTTTCTTCAATATTAAGTTTAATAAAAACGCACTATGCCCAGATATTTCTCTATTTTGCACGGCAACTACATCCAGCCCTGATGAATACCTGTTTCTTTTTTGCTTGGATGAATAATATCATATAATTTAGAGGTAAAAACAATGATGATATATAGGATATGTCAGTAATATCCAGTGGCTTCCTGGTTTTGTCAAAAAAATTTCATAATTTCTTATTAAAAAACGGAAGCTCTAATGCAAAAATGATAGAGAATTTTTTTTTTGTTTTGGCCTGCACTATCATCCCCCCAAAGGATGACAATTTATTAGGTGACACCCTGTATATCAATGTGAAGGTGTTTGGACCATAAAACTACGATGTAATATCCCGATATTCACCCAATTGTCACAATGAAACAGAATACGAAATTTTACCGTTTTAATACTATAATAAGACCTAGTTGTCTCTATATTTCGACCATGACCACGAAACCGCTAGGGATATTATAATTTTTAAATAAAGAATATTTCAAAATCAATAGGTATATAATTAAAAAATTAGTATTATTTTAAAATGTTTCTGTATGAGTGAGTAATATGTACAAATATATTTTAAAGGTGAGACATTAAAAAAATTGAAGTAGCCTATCTACCATGTTGGGGTAAACTAAAACGCCAATCGTGTTCTCTCGGATCCACTTCAGTTTGATCTTCGACACTTATGTCATATATCAGCTGTCTTCTACGGGCTATTGGGGCTACATTAAAGAAATTTTTATGCAAATACGAAATTATAGCACTAATAAAAGTTTATTTTTAGATTCGTTTACCAAATTATTTGCCATTTTATTTTTGTTTGAATTCAACCTTATTAACCAGTAACTACTATCGCCGTGGGGTAAAAAGTAACTCAAATGAGAAACAGATGGAGTTAATTTATTTTTTTTTAATCAATATTAATTATAGGTAATAATTGAATCGGTGAGAATTAGAACAGTACAGGTCCAAAATTTAACATTTGCATCTAAAATAGCAATTTTGTTTTAAACTCGAAGAGGCATCGAAGGAGTAGAATAACATTTTTAAAACCAGCTTGTTAAGGTGTTTGTCAGAGCTAACTGTGGAGCATTGACAATAAGAACAGTACAAGTCCTGGATTTGTACTGTTCTTATTCTCCAAATCTCCTTAACAATATACTCTAATATTATAAAAGTCGGGGTACAAATGTGTACTCTGTCAAAGGTAGACTTTGAAATAAACAAAAATTTAAAAAAAATCATGAATTTTCAAAAAATTTCGAAAAGAGGAGCAGCTAGGATTTTGGTAAATATCATTTTTAAGTTACCAAAGGGTCCCGAACAAGAAACTGCAATCAGTTTTTGGAGGCATTTTTATGTGACTTAAACTTCGTTCAGGTACACGGTGTGTGTACGGACGATGATGCCGGTATCCAAAACTGATTATTTAATATTTTTGTTTAATAAACATGTTTATTTTGTTCAATAAAATGATTTTTGTTTAATAAAAATGCTTTTTGTAAAAAAATGCTTTTCGTTAAAAAATGATTTTTGTTAAAAAAATGTTTTTTTAATAAAAATGCTTAACCACATCGTAATATTTTATTTTTTTTTTCAATTCTAAAACAAAATTCTAAAGATAATTATAAGAATTCTGTGTCAGAATTTTATTGAGATTAAGAACAGTCCCTTCAAGTTTATTTTTTGTGTATAATAAAGCATGCACGTGGGAAAAAAATATTTAGTTTAATGGACGTCTAAACTCATCACAGCTTGTCTGTACTTTTGAACCTGAAAAAATCCTAATAAACAAAACAAACAGTTTATTTTGTTTTCTCAAAATTCACAATTTGGACATGTACTGTTATTTATTCTTACCGATACAATTATAATATTAATTGTAATAATAATAAAAATATTAACCATGGCAGTCGATGCTTTAAACACAAAAACAAAAAAATAGTAATATTAATAATTTCAAAAAAATTACATGTAAATCATGTATACCTTTTTTTGATCAGGCCAGTGTGAACTAACTATATGGATGCGAAAATATAGAGATCGGTGAGCGTGTCAGCCAAAACATGTGTAGTGGAGCCACAAAAAATGAAATGTTGAGGTTATATTCGACCCCACGATAGTTTACGGCTTAAGTATAAATATATTCTTGGTGCAACAAAAAGACAAAAAATACCACAATTAGGTTTTTGCTGTATTTATACAAAAGTAAGTTTTTGCATTTATACTGGTTTCTTTAATGAGGAAAGAAAACTTTTTTTTTCATTTTAGTCATTATTTACTTAAGGTATTATTATTACCTGTCATTGCAGAGCTTTTGCCACGGTCCTGTCCAGACATATTTGCCTCCTCACCTATAAACATAATTATAATTAGATAACTAAATCCTTATATTATTTATACCAGGTCATAAAATAAAAACGCAAACAGAAAACGCAGCAAATATTTTCTAATTTTAATAATGTAACTGATTGGTGTTTTAATAATACCCTTATTAAGGAGACTAAAAATATGTGCCATTGCTCGCTGTATGCATTATTATTATTCATCCGGTCTTATTGTTAGTTTTGGTTCAGTGTACTTACCAAAAATTCATGCACAAGTGAAAGACCATGCAAAATTATACAAATAGAAATAATATACCTACCAAAAAGAAATAATAATAGGTGTGTATACAAACAAAATTAATAAAACAAAAAGAAAAATCAAAGGGAAATGTATGTTTCTTATTTTATTAAAAAAGAAACAAACCTGCTACAACTCTTGAAGATGACGAGATTTGAGGAATATCGAATTGTTCAGTTAAAATGGTTATGGTTCCTTGAGAATCTGTTAGTGGTTTAGTAACGACACCTTGTCCTTTATATTGTTCAATATTTGTTAGTTGGGATGTTTGGGGTTGGGAATCGTCAGTCTTAATAATAAATCGTTTTTGTACGACTTTTTTAATATGAACGTTGCCATGTTCGTCAACTTCGTTGGTTTCTTGGACGTCTTCGCCTTCGCCAAAGTCTTCAATAAATTGACGAAGCCTTTCTTTAGCATCTGCCCCTGTAAAAGTTACCTTACGCATTTCTGAGGGCATCTCGACCCTTCTATGAATTGTATGCGAAAAGGAATCGTCTTCAGATGGTTCAATAACTTCAGTTACATAAGGCTTTAAATTATCTTCTACATACTCTGTGTATTTACCACCACTGGCCTCTTCATCGAACCATACTTTTCTTACAGCAGCAGATACATCCACAAACTCTCTAGTGTGCATTGGATCAACTGTTTCCGTCGAAGATACCATTGTATTAGATCCTCCACTAGTAAAACTTCCTGATAATATGGAATCTGTTTCATATTGATACGTTGCGTGTGTGGCTGTAGAGCTTGTCACACTTTGGTCGACAAATTCATCTCTCGCAGAACAATCCTTACTAGTGCTCGAAATGCTTATATCGTAGGGGTATATTCTAGATCCATCTTCATCGATTGAGTCTGTTAATAAAACATGACTTATAGCTGCAGCTCCTAGCTCCAGAGAATCGCTGGATATCAGTCCGCTTTGTTCACACCCTTTAACTTCGATACTATCTGTCATTATATTATCATTTTTAGATTTTTGAGCTTGAACCTCAATTGAGTCAGTGCTTGCCGTCATTAAATCAACACCTGTTTTTTGATCTAAACTATCAGTACTGCCATGATTGCTAGTCGAAGGTTTAAGGTCCAAAGAATCAGTTGACGTGATCATTACATCATCAGTTTCTTTCCATTGTACTTTAATGTTGGATTTTAAAGGAGCATCCAAGTCCAACTCTGGTACTCTAGATACTTCCTCAATTGAGTCCCCTCTGCCTAAGGATTCAGTTTTTTCAGCTTCTTTTAAATCAATAAATCTTTCTACGTTGGTTTGAGCTTGTCTAATTATTTCGTCAATTTCAAACATTCTTTTTTCGTAGTCTTCCTCATCTGAGTCCGTGGCAAGTTTTTGTGTACCAGAAATAGTTTCGCAACTTTCTGATTCAGATGCCAAACTTTCAGGACATTCATCGATTTGAGCCAACATTTCTTCTTCTTCTTGTACTTTAACCTCAATTTTATGAGCGGCAATACAGGCTTTTTCTAAACCTTCAAATTCTTTGAGTGAACTCACTGAAATGTCATCCCCTTGACTTTTATGATGTCGGTTTTTATAACTTCCATTACTAGATGAGTCTTGGCTACCATGATATTTCCTCATTTCCAAAGACATTGCCTGCTCTAAGTTTTCAAATTCTTGTAAGCTGGACATTGATATATCATCATGCTCACCAGATCTGGTGAAATATTTTCGTCCTGCAAGAACATCATAATCAGGGGTACTTGAGTAGGAATCCTTAACGCTGCCAAGGCTTCCGCCCGATTCTTTTTGAGATCCCAAACTACCAATTCTACTAGATGCTTCAAAATCAGTTATATCTTCCTCTTTAATGTCTTCCAGAGGTCCTCGTTCAAACTCCATTTCGTATCCGTATCCTGCAGCTAACATTGCTGCATGGTCACCTTGAAATTGTTGTTCAATCCACTTTTTGTTAGCTTCCAGTTCTCTATCGTATTGATGGACATAATCTTTTGAAGTGGCAGCTCGCTTAGACCCTGAGTTTTCTGAATCTTGGGGAGGACTATCTTCAAACTCAAAACCAAGCTCGTCACTTGAGGAACCATCTGGATAATATTTGATGTCTGATATTCTTGTCAGTGGCGTAGGAGCTGACTTAACTAAATACTCCTCTACTTCAGTATCATGTTTTGACTTTGTTTTCTTTACTTTTTGTTGAATTTTAACACTTTTACCTTCAGAATCAAATTCATGAGCCTCTTTAGCAACTTCTTCAATAACAACAAAGTCGTCTATTAAGTCTGGTTTTTCTAGCATTTCAAATGAATCACTGCTTGGGGAGTCTGTTCCTTTTTCTGATTCCTCTTTTAATGTAGATTCTACCACTGTAACAACCTCACTTTTTGATTCAGATATTGCCTTTTCTTCGGTGGTTTCTCCTTCTTCAGGAATTACTGATGGCATATCTTCAAGAACGTATTCTCTTCCCTGATCAGTTTCTTCTGAACTTTTACTTGAGTTTGAAGCAGGGGTTTGTGGTGTTGACATTTGTGTATCAGTTTGTTTTTCTTTAGCCTCCAATTCCAAGTCAGGATACCTAAAGTTTTTATCAATAAGAGGTGTCATATGTTGTGTTACTTTTATGTCCGGTATAAATCCAGGGCTTTGATCTTTTATCTGTGCTCTGCGTTGTTCAAATTCCTTTTGAGCTCTTTCACGAGTTTCAAGTTCATGTTTTTCTGCGTCTTCATCCTCTAAAATTGGACAAATCTGTTTAATTTTGTGCGCTGGTGATATATGAGCAACCATACTAAAAGCTGCCTCAGCTTCGGCTTCATCGAAGCTAGATTTTTCGCTGGATGTTGTGCTAGATTTTCCGTGTGAGTCACGTTTTTCCAATTGTTGTTTCGGTATGTAAATATCAGTTAGTTCTTTTGAATGACGTTTAAGTGATGTTTCAGAATAAATTTCATGTGAACGAGCAACCGCGGATGAGTATTCCTGTTCTAATTCCCCAACGCTAGCCTGAGCTTCAGAACTAAATTCTGGCGTGTCATCTTTAGTTTCATCACAAGGTTCCGGAGATAATGGTCTTTCAATCGGATCAGAAATATCCATTGCATCTGATGATTTAATGATCAACTCAGCCAACTCTGAATCTGGCCTATCGTCTGAAAAAGCTGTCGATGTGGGTCTTTCTGAATCGGACTTGCTAAACTGAGATTGAGGTCTACTAAAATCCAAAGTATCTACTTCAAAATCGGATTCACCGTCCAATAATTTGGATCCTCTTTGGGATACTTGATCGATTTCTACATCATAACTATCTTTTTCGCTCTCATCGATATCTTTTTTTTCATCACTTTTACCTTCTTTAGCGCTTAATATTAATAAAGGTTTTTCATTGTCGGTTAATTCGGCATCAGGGACCTTTTGTTGAGGTATCACATTAATCATAGATGCTACAAAATTGCTTTCCTGTCGTCTATGTCCCTTCTTTTTTGGCTCATCTTTGGTTGTTTCTTGAGTTTGAGACCTGACCTGAGTACTAACACTTTTAATTCCATCTAAATTAACACTGGATGTGGTAATTGTTACCGATTCTATTAAAGATTCATTTGAAAGTCTAGGGGTACAAGTTGACGTATCTACAGAAATATTAGAGTGCATTAGGTTTTCTTGGCTACCTCGAGAAATATTTTCAACATCGTCTATGCTCAAATGTTCTGATGTTCCAGATACAGTCATGCTCCCTTCATCCCCTTTGGATAACTCAATAACAGTTCTAACTGCTGCGTTACTCGAAGTACTTGACATACTCATACTCAAAACGCTACCGTCATCCATACTTACACCTAATTTATCATCAGCTTCAAGGGAGTCTTTTTGGGGTAATTCTGGAAATAACATTATCGGTTCTGGTTGAAAAGTCATTTCGTACGACCTTTTCATTTTGGACTGAAGATCTTTTGAATCAACATTATCTTTTTCTGAAATATCTATCGATTCAATAGAGTAAGATTCGCTTACTTCAGTACTTTGTCTAATGGGAGCGTGTGCCATGATCCAATCAGAACTGGGTTTATCTTCTTCGAGTTGCTGTTCTAATAGATCCAACATATCGCCATCCATATCGCTTGTAGATGGTATGAGGGTTTCAGATACTTCGGATACTTCAATGCTTGCTAAATTACCTGAGCTTTCGCTATCAAGACTTTTCATGCTTTCTTTTGAGCTTAAGCTACTTACAGCAGTTTGATATTCGGTGGATGTAATGTGTGATTTACCTGATAACATTTGAGACGTTAATGCGCTTTCATACTCTGAAGAACCAGCAGCCACTAAACCTTCAACATCTGACGAGCATGGTCTACTTTTTCCACTATCGATTTCAAAACTTTGGTAATGACTTTCTCCAGAACTTGAATAGACTTCAAATTCAATTCCTGATTTTCTATCTCCTTTTAAATTTGAACTACCACTACTCGATTCTGCGTCAGATTTAGCTTTTCGTAAAATAATAGTTTCTTTTTCAGTGACTTTTGGCTCTTCTGTTACCAAAAATGGCTCCACAATATTTTTTTCAGATTCAATACTAGATTTTGAGTCTGAACTTAATGTTCTTTTTACTTCAACATGTCTTTCAATAATTTGTGGGGATTCATGTAACTTTCCCTCACTGGTAAATATTTTTAAATCTGTACTAAGATTATCCAATGTTGTTGTAACAACTGATTTAGATTCATGATGTTCTACTTGGACAATGTTACTTTTAGTTTCAGTTACCTGCTTTTCAATTTCCTTGACGGTTGTTGTTTTAGAACCATCTGGTTCAATTGTTACTTCACTTACTTGCTCTTGTACTATTTTTTCTTTTAAATCACTTTTCTCGTTATAAAATAATTCTGTTTTGGAGTCAATTTCTTTTTTCATATCCCCAAAGTTTTCGGTAACTGATACTTGAGATTCATTTTTCGCTGATAATAATATTGAATCACTACATTCCTTACTAACATTTTCTATTTCTTGATAAATATCTTTACCGTCCTTTACCGAAACTGATGAATATAATTTTGAATCAAAATGTCTTTGGGCGCTTGCATCAAGAGTTTCTGTTTTTAGTTTTTTTTTATCATCGCATTTTTCAATTGTCTCATCTTTAATCACTACATGAGCATCGGTTGTAAATTTTTCAGAATCATCAGTTGCCGATTCTGATATTGTTTCATCTTCTTCAAAAATTATGTCTTTACTTTGGACGGCTGATTTTTCACCTTTTATACTTTCACTTACTTTAACTGTGATATTATTTTTCTGATGAATTATTTTGGAATCCGCATAGGTCTCTAAGTCTTTCGATATATGTTTTTCTTCAGTGTGTGCCTCATCTATTTTATTAATTTGTTCTGATTTTTCTTGAAAATGTTTGCTTGATTCGTCAACTGAATCATAATCAATTTTAATATCTAATTTTTCAGCTTCAAGTTGATCCATTTGTTGTTCTAATATGTGTGAATAATCCAGCTCAGCGCCACTAAATTTTAAATCTTCATCAGTGATTTCCATGCTAGAGGCTTGAGTATCTCCGCGTACAAGCTTGCTAAGCTCTCGTTGTCTTCTCGCCAAAACAGATTCTACTAATTCAACTTCTCTTTCATCCAAACCTTTAGCTTCAGCTAATTGTCTTAAATAGTCGGAAACCGAAGCTTTCGTAATGCTATATGGTACTTCATATGAAATACTTTCATTTTTTTCTATTTCTGATTCAATTTCCCGTACTAATGCCGAGGCCATTTTTTTGGCTTCTTCGGGATCTACTTGTTGTTGATGTAGACTATCCAATATTATCTTTTCAATATCATTAGAACTCTCAGATTTAATTTTATCGGATGCCAAAGAATCGGAACGATCTTGGTGTATGTCTGATGTGAGATCTGATTCATCTTTATAACTTATATCTTGTTTGTCATCGTCAATAGATGGACCTGCTTGGATAGTTTGCTTTACCTCTGATACCGAGTCTGATACTATATCAGTTACTTTTTCACTAAATTCTAGTTCTGACTGAATTGGCACTTCCCAAACAGTCTCCTCTATATGCTCCTCTGATTGTTTAATTGAAGAAATTTCAGGTATTGGAGAGACAGAAGTTTGAACCGTTTCAATTCTTTCTACGTAATCATCACTTTCCTCGCTAATTCTTCTTTGTTTACCCGATAAAGTTACTGTTATTTCAGGAATATAGTCATCGGGAAAATGAGATGTTTTAGGTGAAGGTTCAGTGGTAAAAGACTCAATCGATTTGGTTTCAATGTTTGTAGCATCGTGATCAAATTCACTTAGTTTTTCCGAATTTTCCAACTCGCTTTTATCTACATGTACTTCCATAGAGCAAAGTTTTGATGCACTATCTTCTTTCAGGTTTTGTTCATCATATCTTTTATCTGATTCCAAACTGTCCACAATATTATTTACTATAAAAGACTCATTACTAATAGTGGAAGTTTTGCTTATTTCAGATTTATCTAAAACAAAACCTTTTAATTCGATAGATGCTTGGCCTATCTTTTGCCCTGCTACTACAGATCCTAACTGCTTTTCATAACTTTTGGCTAAACTTTTAACAGAGCTTAAATCGATTTTTTCCGCTTCAATTGTTTTGTGAGTTTCATTTATGACACCCTGTTCTTTGTGATTTATATTACTTACAAGATTTTTAACTGTAGTAGATTTTTCAGTAAGCTGTTCTTTTGTATTTTTATCTCCCTGTAAATGTTCACTAACAAAATATGTATTTTTAATTGGAATTTTTGATGGCTTTGGTATACTGACATTTTTTTCAACAGAAACTTCCAATCCTTTTGCAATATCCTTAACAGATTGTTTTGGTAGTTCTTGTTTTGGTAATTCTCGTTTTGTTAATTCATCTTGTGGTACTTCTTGTTTTATTAATTCCCCTTGTTGTACTTCTTGTTTTGGTAATTCTTCTATAATTTCAGATAAGAGCTCTTCTTCCTCCCTTAAACTTGACTGGTTTGATATTGTCAACTGTTTACGTTCAGGGGATGGATCATCTTCAATTTCACTTGTTAATTGCTCTTCAATCATTTCTTTTTTGATCTGTTCTTCATAATATTGCTTTCTTAATTTAATACTTCTAGCAGATACTTCATATAAATCTTCGGTAGGTAATGATGCAGACCTTTCATATATAGATTTTCGAGTACTTGCTACAGGAGGAGCAAATACACTCATTTGTCTTTCTCTAATTTGTGGTACTCTATCCTCTATTTCGGAATCAGATATATAATGTTCCACATCCTCACTATCTGAAATATAACCAGAATTTTCTATAAATTGACTGCTACCTTTTTGAGCCTTATCTGAATCTAAACTTTCCGTTTTTTCCAAATCAGTCTTATTTTTTTCTTCTTCTTTGGGCATTTTGGGTTTGACTTGAAAAGGAGGTTGGAACTGTGCTTGATATTCAGTCATTATTTTTTCCTCTATTATCGAACCGTCATCACTTTCAGAAATTCTTGTTAGTTCAGTCTGGGCCATTCCACTGCTTTCGCTAGGTGTAGAGTCAACTGAAACAGCCCTGTTTAAAAGTATACTTGGTTTTGTTAAATCGTCTTTTTCTTCAGATAAACTTTGAGATTGTTGAAATATAGCTCGAGGTTTTGGTACGGGTGGTGCTCCCAATTCATGAACTGACGCTCTTTTTTTCGATAAGGTTTCTTTCTCATGCAATGATATTTCTTGTATGCTCAAACTCTTTCCAATATTATCTTTAGATACATTTTCCCAGAAGTTCTTTTTATCTGAGTATGTTTCAAGGGTTTCTGCCTGATCAGTGTCATCAAGCAGATCATCTCGCACTGGAGATATTTGCTTTTCCATGGTTTGTTCATCGTTTATTGAAAATTGAAGTGGTGTTTCCGGAATCTTAGCGGATCGGGGTTTGGGTTGTGGAGTTTTGGTTTCGGTCGTTGTTAGTTGGGAATTTGCTTCGGTTAGTTGGCCGCAGCTGATTTCTAAAAAGATGCGGTTAAATGTTAACGGGATCTAGCCGAAATACAATTATTTACAATGTCCTGGTAAAGGGTTCAAAGCGGGTATACATACAGGCATATAGTTATATATCTTTTTATCAATTTAGCTATCTCCAAATATAAACTTACCGTTAAATATGAAACTGAAATGTCAAATGATTCTAAACAGGAAAAGAAAAGAAAAGAAAAGAAAAATGTAAAGCCAAAGTTTGCTTGTGCTAAGTTTTAATGTGGGACTTAACATTTAAACATGCTTAAATAACCAAACATATCGGGCCCCGTCAGTGCCGGGTCTAGTTAACTAGTAGTGCCTCTGGTTACCTAATTTTTCTGATGATATTTTTTCAAAGGATTTTATGATTTCCAGAGAAGTACAATGGTTTTCCGAAATCAATATATCGGGGATTACATGATCAGATTTGGAATAAGATTTTTCTTCATGCAAGGAACTATCCATTTCATCATATAAACTTCCAGTATCCATTGTATCTGGTAAACTCGTTGCTATGCTTTGTTTATCAATATTATCACTAGAACTAAATGGACTTGACTTTTGCAACCAACCAACGACTGCATTCATTATTGCACTTTTTGATTCTAATACGCTGCTATCTAATGATCTAGACATTAATTGTTCACTACTTTTCAAGGAGCCTATTAAAGACTCTTTACTTTTACTTAAAAACGTATTGGGATTCATTTCAAGAATCGTATCATAAATATATGTTTTACTGGGGATTGTTTTAAGGTCAGGCAAACTACCTCGATCGTCCTTAAACCTTCTATCTTCAAAAAAACCCATTTCAGATTTAGCACGCTTATTTTTAATATTTCTTTTAGGTTTTGGGGATGCCACTGGACTTTTCATTATTGGTATAACATCGACTTCAATACCTGCTTTGTTAGTTAAATTGTCTTTATTTAATTTGACAGGGCCCATATAAACAATTTCACCTACGGGAATTAATTCAGTGAACGATTTTGTATAACCTAAATAGGTCCCGATATGTTTGCGGGAAAGATAATATGTATGTTTTTTGTATTAAATTGCATGCTAATGTTTTAAAGTTTTAACGATTTATTTTAAGTCGGTGATTAACTGAATGAACAGGCTACATAGGCGTGAATGATTATTTGTGTAGTAAAAGCTTTTGTAAAGCAAACATTTAACTACCTTGAGGAAGATCTAGCACGTCAGCATGACTGTCCGGAGTTTTTGAGTCTCCATCCTCAGTCTTTGAAAAGGTGGTTTCATCTAAAATTTGGCTAAACTCTCTCTGGAAGTCGGATACATCTTCTACGCTTATTTGTGAAACTAGTTTATCGAATTCTTGTTCCTGAAAAGCTTCAGCTTCTGGTGTTATTAATTTATGTTCTTTTGCCTCTGCAACGTCTTTGTCTAAAACTTCCGAAGCCATTTTTTCGAATTTTCTTTCAATTCTTCGTAGTTTCTTTTCCGACAAATCTGTGCTTATACTTTGTGTATCGGATTTTACTTGAATATCTATTTGCTCTAAAGAATCTAACGCTTTATCCAAGTCACATAATTTTTTTTCAATAATATCAACATCTTTTTGAGACTCCATCACATTAGTTTCTAATGTTACTTTTTTTTCTATTTTAATGAGCGGGTTTTCACTGGTAGCTTCTTTTAAAGATTGTGTTAAGTTACTTAGTAATGTGTCAATTTTATTTTCGGTAAGACTTTCTAAAATATTTGATTTCACACTATCACGTCTTTCATAAATCTGTTTTGGTGATAATTCTAAGGAGTCATCTTCTTCAGATTCTATGTGAAATAAAGCTTTTTTTTTACCTCCTTTACAACTTTTTATATCTTCGGGCTCGGTAACTGTATAAGATCCACTGGGACCAAAATCTCCTATTTGATTACTTACGTCCTTAATATAATATTTAGTTGTTTGGACTTTTTGTGAAGCATGCCTCCTTATAGAAGTTGGTGATGTAATAAACGAATTTGATACTTGTACGGTACTTTTTTCTGAGTACTCAACATTTGTTGACAAATTTGACAAATCAATATTTGCTTCGGATATTTTAACAGAGTTATCGGTGTGTGATTTTAAATTACCCATATTATCAGACACGGCTCGAGTCATTTTACTAAAGGAATCCTGTGTAGATAGGTTTCTAGCACTTTCTAGATATTTACCAGGTATATCGTTTATTTCTCTTGACTTTACATCTAATTCCTCTTTATCTTTAAATACATCTGTTTCGAATTGCTTATAAGATTCTTTAACGCTTTCTGAATCTTTCATATCAGGAACATTTACAACATATGTTTCTTTTGATTGTGCTGATATTTTTTCAAGGCTATGCTTAATAGATGATTTAATATCTGCATATTGATCTGATTGTTTGTTATTGTAAATATCCTCCTTCTCTTCAATTTCCTCTTTTAGTTTATTTTCTTTACCACTTATCTTTCCTTTACCTTCATATTTTTTAATTTTTTCCCCTGTTTCCACTTTGGCAGCAGTTTCTTTTAAAGCCTCCTCTAGTTTTGCTTCCAAATCTTTTATTTCAGTTTTTATACTTTTTTCAATACCCTCTACAGTTTCCGCAGAAAGATTTTTTACATTATCCTTAATTTCTTTCAAGTCTATATTTTCTAATCCTTTATTTTTTTTCTTGTCCGTTTCTTCCAAAAAGACTTTGCATTTTATTTTTTCTGTTTCAGCACTTTCTTTTGTTTCTTTTTTGTTCTTTATTAAAATATCTTTTTGTAGATTATACATGTCATTCTTAGTTTGGGACGTTATTTGTTTACTATATTCAGCTATTTCCCTTTCAGAGTTATCATTACTTGTACTAAATCTTTTTTTAATTTTTTTAGTATTTTTATTGATTTTAGTTCCCAGTTTATCGAGAAATCTACCTGTTTCCTTTGATGTTTTCTTTAGTTCTGATTTTGATTCTTTCACTGTATGTTCGATATCTTGTTTTAGGTCTTTAAGTTTTTTATGTTCTTTTTCAGTTTTATTTTTAATTTTTAAAGCATTGTCCCTAATTTCATCACTTATAAATTTACCATCATTATTAATATCAGAAGCAACACGTTTTACATTTTCTATTTCATTTTTCATTTGGCATTCTGTATGTTGTTTGGCATCATTAATAAAATCTGAAACTGCATCATTAGCAACTTTTGTTTGTTGGTTAATTTCAGAAATTAAACTATTAGTTTCCTCCTTAGTTATATTCAAAGTATCCTTCATTTTAGCTCCAATAGGCTCTTTTATAGCATCCTTTTCAATATCATCGATTATATTCTTAGTTTCATTTGATGATTCATTTATATCTTTTTCAGTAATTTCAACATAAGTACTAATTTTATCTAATTTGGATTCAACTTTATCTTTAATTTTGTTGGTTTGTTTTGATATTTTATTTCCAAGTTCGGAATCTTTTTCAATAGGATCTTGTTCTTCGGCACTTTTGAAGTTTTCATCTTCTACATCATTTGTGTATTGCTTTGCATCAGAAATACAGTCTTTAATTACATCTTTTAATTGTTTATTACTTTCTTGATTACAAATATCCTGGCTAATGTTAGATTTTGTTTCTTTTATTAGGTTAACATTATTTTTGTCAACCTCAATAACCAATTCTGATGTGGCTTCCTTAACATAATTCAGTTCTTCTCTTGTTGCGTCTTTATTATCTTCTAAGTCTTGTTTAGACTTCTTGTCCTTTCCACTTAATTTGTCTCCTAATTTTCCAAAGAACCCTTTGCTTTCTTTAATATCTTTGACTTGATCTGTGATAATTGAAATAGATTCTGTACCACTTTCAGATTTCTTAAGCATTTCACCAGTATTGTCTAGTTTTGTTTCCAATTTTGCTATATCAGAATCAATATTATCTTTAGTTGTCTTTGATTTCTTCTTAATTTTGTCTAAAAAGCCCCCAGACTCTTTTTTAGCTTCTAATTTAACTTCTTCGACAAAGTCCACTGTTTTTTCTTTTAATATGGAAGGTGTATCCGAAACATTTTTAATATCATCATTTATCTGTTTAGAAGAATACTGTACTTCAGAAATGATATTTTCTACATCTTTAATTTTTTCTTCGAGTACTAAGATACTTTTATTTGTAGTCATGGTTATTATATCAGATTTTTTCTTTAAATCAGCTTCTATTTCATTTGACTCATTTTTTACAGATGAAAGTTTATTATCAAAAGTCTGCATAACTTCGCTTATAAGATTGGTCTCAGAATTAACCATTCCGGGTTCTGTTAAGACGCTATCCATATCATTTTCAAATGTTACTTTATTTTTATAATCCTTATTAGATTTATTAACGGTCTCTGTTGCAGAATGTATTACCTCGTTAACTGTGTCCGAAGCTTCTTTAAGCTTATTTTCTATTTCAACTGAAGATGATATAACATTGTGTGAGTGTTTTTCATCTCCCTCTTCATCATCGGTTAAAGAATGTATTTTTCGACTTAGTCTTTCCATAATACCTACTTTTTCAGTGGATTTTTCAAGATTCCGATTTTTTTGTTTTTTTGTAGATGTAGGACTGGTCTTATCCTTTTTACTAAATATGTTAAATAGACCAGATGATATAAGATCCGCATCTTCTTTTTCTTCACTTTTTTCTAATATATTACTATTTTTATTACTCCCATCTTTGTGTTGTTGTTTAATGGTTAAAAATGATGTAGGGTCATGCGACTGTGATTCTGATACATCTAAATCTTTACTATCATCAGAGGATTCCTCTGATTTTTGTTTTTTTCCAAATATTCTAAACGGACTACCACTATTCTTTCTTTGTTTCTTAGTGGTAGAAGTTAAATCGGGTTTGTTTTTAAAATCTACTTCGTCTTCATTATTTAATTCGGAGGTTTCTTTTTTCAAATCATATAATTTTTTTTCAATAGATTTTTCCTTAAACAACTCCGGAGAAACATTTTCTAATTTTGATTCAAAAGTTTTTGTGACCACACGTGTTGTTTTTCCTTCTTTTTTCGTGTCCTTTTTTTCCTGAGTAATTTCATTAGGTTTAAAGTTTTTATAGTTTTCAATTTTTGAAATTATTGTTTGTTTACTCTCTTTCTTAGTAATTCCATCTTGACCATCTTCATAATTTTGTTGTTCAGTCAAAAGAAAGTTACTACTATTGGTTATATTTTTTACAGCTTCTTCAGGTAAATTAGTTGTTGCGCATTTATCTGTAGTGGTAACTTTTTCAAAATTGCTTTCAGCAACTACATTTTTGTCATGTGTTTTTTTAGAAAATATACCAAAGAGACGAAATTTGTCATCTTTTTCGTGTTCGTCTTTGTCTGTAGTTCCTTTGTTGTTTGTTTTCGAAGATTGTTCCTTGGAATGATTTTTTTCATCAATATAAACTGAATCCTGTAAAATTATTTTTTGTGACAATGCGTTATTAACCGCACCGGTTAATGACTGTTTATCAATCAGTTTTACGTCCTCATAATTTTTAACTTCTTCGTTCAAAAAATTGGACGAATCCTCCATAATTTTAATTAAATCTTCGGATGGAATTGGTTTAATCTGCTCATCACCGTTTATTCGTAGATCCTTGGTCTTTTTGCCAAACAATCCTCCCAAAAATATTTTTTTTTCTTCGCCATCTCCCTTAACCTTTTGGTTTACATCCTTTTCTAAACTGTTTGTCTTAGCCTCTTTTTTAGATTTTTTAACAGGAGAAGAGCTCACTTCTATATTTATTGTTTCTTTAATACTAGGTTTAACATCTTCGTAATGTTTAACTTCTTGTTCTAAAAATCCTGATGTATCTTTCATTGTTTTAATTAATTCTTCGGAAGTAAGTTCTTTAACTTTATCGCTTCTCATTTTTTCATCCTTGGTCTTTTTTCCAAACAATCCTCCAAAAAATCCTTTCTTCTCTTCGATTTCTTCTTTACTTTCAAAGCTTTTTGCCTTTTTCCCTTTTTTATAATTCATTATTTTTGTCTTTTTAGCGGAAGAAAAAGAAACTTCTGGTAAAATTACTTCCTTTGGTAAAGATTCAATGATTGTTTCTTTAATAATGGGTTTCACATCTTCGTGGTGTTTAACTTCATGCTCTAAAAATCCAGAAGTGTCTTTTACTGTTTTAATTAATTCTTCCGATAAAAGTTCTTTTGTTTTATCGTTTATAATTTTTTCATCTTTGGTCTTTTCTCCAAACAATGCTCCAAAAACTCCTTTCTTTTCTTTACCTTGTTCTTTACATTCAAAGCTTTTTTCCTTTTCCCCTTTTTTAGAATCCATAAATTTTGGCTTTTTAGCGGGAGAAAAGGAAACTTCTTGTAAATTTACTTTCTTTGGTAATGATTCAATGATTGTTTCTTTAATAATGGGTTTAACATCCTCGTGGTTTTTAACTTCATGCTCTAAAAATCCAGAAGTGTATTTTATTGTTTTAATTAATTCTTCCGATAAAACTTTTTTATTTTCATCGTCTTTAATTTTTTCACCCCTGGTCTTTTTGCCAAAGATTCCTCCAAAAAATCCTTTATTTTCTTCGCCATCTTCTTTGCATACCTTATTTCCATCTACATCTCTTTCTAAACTTTTTGCCTTTTCCTCTTTTTTAGAATCTTTAGATTTTGACTTTTTTGCGGGAAAAGAAAGAACTTCTTCTTTAATTACTGGTTCGTGTAAAATTACTTCCTCTAATAATACTTTAGGTATTTTTTCTTTAAAAATGGGTTTAACATCTTTATGGTTTTTAGCTTCTTGGTCTAAAAACTCAGATGTGTCTCTCATTATTTCTATCAATTCATTGGATGGAAGTTTTTTATCAAGATCATCTTTAATTTTTTCATCCGTGGTCTTTTTGGGAAACAATCCTAAAAATCCTTTCTTTTCTTCTTTGAATTCTTTATTTTCATCTTGTTCTAAACTGTTAACCTGTTTTTCTTTTTTATAAACTTCTTTAATTACAACTGTTTCGTGTAAAATGACTTTCTTTGGTAATGATTCAGGTATTGTTACTTTAAAAATGGGCTTAACATCTTCGTAGTTTTTAACTTCCTTTTCCAAAAATTCAGACGTGTCTTTCATTGTTTTAATTAATTCTTTAGATGGAAGTTTTTTAGTTTCATCGTCTTTAATTTTTCTATCCTTGATATTTTTGCGAAACAAACCTCCTAAAAATCCTTTATTTTCTTCACCATCCTTTATGAATTCCTTTTTTTCTAGTTTTTCATCTTTTCCTAAACGTTTTTCTTTTTCTTCTTTTTTAAAATCATTGGATTTTGACTTTTTAGCAGGAGAAGAAGAAACTTCCTCTTTAATTACGATTGTTTCTTGTAAAATGACTTCCTTTTGTAACAGTTCAGGTATTGTTTCTTTAATAATAACATCTTGGTAGTTTTTAACTTCCTCTTCCAGAAATCCAGACGTGTCTTTCATTGTTTTAATCAATTCTTTGGATGAAAGTTTTTTATCATCATCTTTAATTTTTTCATCCGTGGCCTTTTTGGCAAACAATCCTAAAAATCCTTTCTTTTCTTCTTTGGATTCCTTTTTTTCTAATTTTACATCTTCTTCCAAACTGTTAACCTTTTTTTCTTTTTTATAATTCTTGGATTTTGACTTTTTATCAGGAGAAGAAAAAACTTCTTCCTTGATTACCAATGTTTCGTGTAAAATGACTTCCTTTGGTAATGATCCAGGTATTGTTACTTTAATAATGGGTTTAACATCTTCGTAGTTTTCAACTTCCTCTTCCAAAAATACAGACGTCTGTTTCATTGTTTTAATTAATTCTTCGGATGGGAGTTTTTTAGTAACATCGTCTTTAATTTTTCTTTCCTTGATATTTTTGCTAAATAATCCTCCTAAAAATCCTTTATTTTCTCCACCATCTTTTATGAATTCCTTTTTTTCTAGTATTTCATCTTTTTCTAAAGGTTTTGCTTTTTCCTCTTTTTTAAAATCATTGGATTTTGACATTTTAGCAGGAGAAGAAGAAACTTCCTCTTTAATTACGACTGTTTCTTGTAAAATGACTTCCTTTTGTAACAGTTCAGGTATTGTTTCTTTAATAATAACATCTTGGTAGTTTTTAACTTCCTCTTCCAGAAATCCAGACGTGTCTTTCATTGTTTTAATCAATTCTTTGGATGAAAGTTTTTTATCATCATCTTTAATTTTTTCATCCGTGGTCTTTTTGGAAAACAATCCTAAAAATCCTTTCTTTTCTTCTTTAGATTCGTTCTTTTCTAATTTTACATCTTCTTCTAAACTGTTAACCTTGTTTTCTTTTATATAATCCTTGGGTTTTGACTTTTTATCCGGTGAAGAAAAAACTTCTTCTTTGATTACCAATGTTTCGTGTAAAATGACTTCCTTTGGTAATGATTCAGGTATTGTTACTTTAATAATGGGTTTAACATCTTCGTAGTTTTTAACTTCCTCTTCCAAAAATCCAGACGTGTCTTTCATTGTTTTAATTAATTCTTCGGATGGAAGTTTTTTAGTAACATCGTCTTTAGTTTTTCTTTCCTTGATATTTTTGCCAAACAACCCTCCTAAAAATCCTTTATTTTCTCCACCATCTTCAATGCATTTCTTTTTTTCTAGTTTTTCATCTTTTTCTAAACGTTTTGCTTTTTCCTCTTTATTAAAATCATTGGATTTTGACTTTTTAGCAGAAGAAGAAGAAACTTCCTCTTTAATTACCACTGTTTCTTGTAAAATGACTTCCTTTTGTAACTGTTGAGGTATTGTTTCTTTAATAATAACATCTTCGTAGTTTTTAACTTCCTCTTCCAAAAATCCAGACGTGTCTTTCATTGTTTTAATCAATTCTTTGGATGAAAGTTTTTTATCATCATCTTTAATTTTTTCATCCGTGGTCTTTTTGGCAAACAATCCTAAAAATCCTTTCTTTTCTTCTTTGGATTCGTTCTTTTCTAATTTTACATCTTCTTCTAAACTGTTAACCTTGTTTTCTTTTTTATAATCCTTGGATTTTGACTTTTTATCCGGAGAAGAAAAAACTTCTTCTTTGATTACCAATGTTTCATGTAAAATGACTTCCTTTGGTAATGATTCAGGTATTGATACTTTAATAATGGGTTTAACATCTTCGTAGTTTTTAACTTCCTCTTCCAAAAATCCAGACGTGTCTTTCATTGTTTTAATTAATTCTTCGGATGGAAGTTTTTTAGTAACATCGTCTTTAATTTTTCTTTCCTTGATATTTTTGCCAAATAATCCTCCTAAAAATCCTTTATTTTCTCCACCATCTTCTATGCATTCCTTTTTTTTTAGTTTTTCATCTTTTTCTAAACGTTTTGCTTTTTCCTCTTTATTAAAATCATTGGATTTTGACTTTTTAGCAGGAGAAGAAGAAACTTCCTCTTTAATTACGACTGTTTCTTGTAAAATGACTTCCTTTTGTAACAGTTGAGGTATTGTTTCTTTAATAATAACATCTTCGTAGTTTTTAACTTCCTCTTCCAAAAATCCAGACGTGTCTTTCATTGTTTTAATCAATTCTTTGGATAAAAGTGTTTTAACATCATCATCTTTAATTTTTTCATCAGTGGTCTTTTTGGCAAACAATCCTAAAAATCCTTTCTTTTCATCTTTGGATTCCTTCTTTTTTAGTTTTATATCTTCTTCTAAACTGTTAACCTTTTTTTCTTTTTTATAATCCTTGGATTTTAACTTTTTATCCGGAGAAGAAAAAACTTCTTCTTTGATTACCACTGTTTCGTGTAAAATGACTTCCTTTGGTAATGATTCAGGTATTGTTACTTTTATAATCGGTTTAACATCTTCGTAGTTTTTAACTTCCCCCTCCAAAAATCCAGACGAGTCTTTCATTGTTTTAATTAATTCTTCGGATGGAAGTTTTTTAGTATCATCATCTTTAATTTTTCTATCCTTGATAGTTTTGCCAAACAATCCTCCTAAAAATCCTTTATTTTCTTCACCATCTTTTTTGAATTCCTTTTTTTCTAGTTTTTCATCTTTTCCTAAACGTTTTGCTTTTTCCTCCTTGTTAAAATCATTGGATTTTGACTTTTTAGCAGGAGAAGAAGAAACTTCCTCTTTAATTACCACTGTTTCTTGTAAAATGGCTTTCTTTTGTAACGATTCAGATATTGTTTCTTTATTAATGGGTTTAACATCTTCGTAGTTTTTAACTTCCTCTTCCAAAAATCCAGACGTGTCTATTATTATTTTATTCAATTCTTTGGATGGTTTTTTAGTTCCATCATCTTTAATTTTTTCATCTTTGATCTTTTTGCCAAACAATCCTCCAAAAAATCCTTTTTTTTCTTCGCCATCTTCTTTGGATTCGTTTTTTTCAGGTTTTACGTCTTTTTCTAAAACGTTTGCCTTTTCTTCTTTTTTAAAATCCTTAAATTTTGACTTTTTAGCGGGAGAGGAAGAAACTTCTTCGATTACCAATGTTTCGTGTAAAATGATTTCCTTTTGTATTGATTTGGGTATTGTTACTTGAATAAAGGGTTTAACATCTTCGTAGTTTTTAACTTCCTCTTCCAAAAAACGAGACGTGTTTTTCATGGTTTTAATCAATTTTTCGGATGGTAGTTTTTTGGTTTCATGATCTTTAATTTTTTCCTCCTTAATCTTTTTGCCAAACAATTCCCCCAAAAATCCTTTTTTTTCCTCGCCATCCTCTTTGAATTTATTTTTTTCAGGTTTTTCACCTTTTTCTAAACTTTTTGCCTTTTCTTCTTTTTTTAAATCATTGGATTTTGACTTTTTGGAAGGATAAGAAGAAACATCCTCTTTAATTACCACTGTTTCTTGTAAAATGACTTCTTTTCCTAATGATTTAGGTATTGTTTTTTTAATATTGGATGTAACATCTTCGTAGTTTTTAATTTCCTCTTCTAAAAATCCAGAAGTTTCTTTTATGGTTTTAATCAATTCTTTGGATGACAGTTTTTTCGTTTCATCGTCTTTGATTTTTTCATCCTTGATGTTTTTGCCAAACAATCCTCCTAAAAATCCTTTCCTTTGCTCGCCATCTTCTTTGTATTTCTCTTTTTCTAGTTTTATATCTTTTTCTAAACTTTTCGCCTTTTCTTCTTTTTTAGAATCCTTGGGATTTGACTTTTTAGCGGGAGATGAAAAATCGTCTTCTTTGATTACAACTGTTTCGTGTAAAATGACTTCCGTTGGTAAGGATTTAGGTATTGTTTCTTTAATAATGGGTTTAACATCTTCGTAGTTTTTAACTTCCTCTTCCAAAAATCCAAACGTGTCTTTTATTGTTTTAATAAATTCTTGTTGTGAACGTTTTTTTGTTTCATCCTCTTTGATTCTTTCATCCCTGGTCTTTTTAGCAAACACTCCTTCTAAAAATCCTTTCTTTTCTGAGCCATCTTTAGATTCCTTCTTTTCTAGTTTCAGATCTTTTTCTAAACTTTTTGCATTTTCTTCTTCTTTAAAATTCTTGGATTTTGACTTTTTAGCGGGAGAGAAAAAAACTTCTTCTTTGATTACAACTGTTTCAGGTAAAATGTCTTCTTTTGGAAATGATTCAATGATTTCTTTAACAATGGGGTTAGCATCGTAGTTTTTAACTTCCATTTCTAAAAATCCAGAAGTATCTTTAATTTTTTTTATTAATTCTTTAGATGGAATGTGTACATTGCATTTAATGTTTTGATCCTTGGTTTTTCTGCCAAACATTCCCCCTAAAAGTCCTTTCTTGTCTTCTTTTTTGTCTGTATTTATTTCTTTAATTGGTTCTTTATCTTGTTTTTCTAATATTTCTTCATCCGAACTTTGATCAACCTTGGATAATTTTAGTATAGCACTTGGCTTTGAATATGTAGGTTTGTCATTTTCTGTATTTATATTACTTTTGTCGTGAGTCCATCCTGTACATATTGATTCATTTTTAATAAGGTTAGTTGTTTCACACTTAATATCTTTAGGGTATTGGTTACCTTCGGTCGTAATAACTGCATTACCTGTTAAACTGGGGGGTTCATATATGTCTTCATAAACATGTTTAATTTTTCTTGGTGGTGGCACTGGTGCATTAATATCAACAACAGGCTTAACAATTTTTTCTAGGGACAAAATAGGAGATTTGTCTAAAATTTCTTTTTCAATTTCACTAATAGATTGATCAATGTTAAGCGTAAAAGTTTCTATAGATTTTTTTGGGTATTCTTTTTTGGAGGGATCAATAATAATTGAAAATTCTTCTTCTTCTATTGCAACTGGCTGAAATACTTTGGTTATTTCTTCAACTACTACAATTTTGGTCTGTTTTTGCTTCGGGATTTCAGTTATTTTTACAGTTTTTGAATTAGCTGGGTCGGAAAACCTAATTTTGGTGGCTGTAACAGGAGGTTTTATTGTGGAGTTTTCATTAGTGTCTTGGTCAAAATATGGCATATCAGCAAATTCTTTTCTTTCAATAAGTGGACTGGGCATTTTAGGTTTTTCATTAGTTTTCTGAATTTCAGGTGATGTTTTTTTTATTTTATTCTTATTTTTATCTTTTTTGCCTTTATAATCTTTTTTAGCCGACTTTTCGGAATCGGAGTCGGTGTCGAATGATTTGCCAACAAATGTTTTAATAGTACCAAATATTCCTTTTTTGGCCTTTTTATCTTTGTTAATAGATTCTGTTTTAACTAAATCTTGCTTTTCACCTTTATTAGATTTTTCGTAAACTATTGTATAATGTTTATCTGTATGCGTGTGATACGGTTCGGCGAGTGACTCAGATTGAATTAAAGCATTAGTTTGTTCGAAAATTATTTTATTATTAGGTAATTTAAACACTGTAGAGAAACCGGTAGAAGGTTGGCTTACAGGTTTGTCTACAAGCCTTAAATCTTCGTTACTAGTTAAATACTGTGTTGTCGTTGTCGGTTTTCCTGTAAATACATGCAATTTCCAACAAGCTATTCTATCTAGCAATCCTTATTATAAAACATCGTAAAATATCCTTACTGCAGAGTATGTGGATTTTTTTGGTATTAAATTAGTTACTAGCTACAAACCGCAAAATTCATGCGTATAAGTGGCACGAAACACGAGTTACCTTTACCTCTACTTAAATCTTCTTTCGGAATTAACCAATCGCAATATGGTTGGGGTATTTCAGAGGGATCGTTTATTGGATAGGATATAAATTCTGTGAATGGGTCATTTTTTATAGATTTGTATTTGCTATAACAAGGATAAAAAGGGATATTTGCATAAAGATCCACTCTATTTGGATCTTCTTTAAATGATGATGATGTGCTTTGATACTGAAGAGGGTAATTTTCTTTAGTTGTTGCGAATAATTCAGTTTTGCTTTTAGATAATTCTTTTGTTGTGAGTAAGTTATTTTCGTTTTTATCTTTGTTACATAATTCATTATCCGGATTTTTAATAAATATTCTTGGCAATGTAAATGTTGGTTTGTTTGATTTTTGCTTTTTTGACGTGTGTTGATCAGGTAATAAATTATATGAAATTGATTTTTTCTTAGTTCCATCTAAAATATTGGAAAATGTTTTTGTTATATTACTAAACTTATCACTTAATTTTGATGGCAATGTCTTGCTCTTTTGGTTTTTTGTTTTTTCCCAAATGGATTTTTTATTTTGTTCTGTAGTTTCAAGAAAATCTTTTACTGAATGTATTTCGATGGCTTCTTTACCGTTATCAGTGGTTTTAACAAGTAATTTTACTTCTGCACGAATAATTTTTTCATGTGTCTCATACTGGCCTTCACTTGAACTGCAACTAAATGAACTACTCTCTGAATCCGAATCATTAGATGTTGTGTCATTTGCATTTACGTGTAATAAAGGGGAATTATTTAAATTTTTAAATGGTTTTGATAGATAGGTCTTGCTTATTAAACTAGCATTCTCTTCCTCTTCTTCAGGAACAATACTGAGATTACGATAGGTACCCTCCCACCAAATTTCATTACCTGTACGACTGTCATATAACTGATAAGCATATGTTAAAGGTCGTTGTTCAATTGTTTCATAATTGTCATCCATAAATATATCGGCTGTGTCGTCTATTATATCTGAACCTTCACTTAAGGATTCACTTGAAGCCCTTTGAGCCATATGTAATTGAATTTCGTATTTATATAACTTATTTTTTTGAAGATCATCAGTGGTTTCAGTAATTAAAGCTGCAGCTTCATCTATTTTTTCATGCATTACATTTTTATTTATTAAGTTATCGTTATAGTTTATCAACTCATAAAAATTTTCTTGTAATTCTTGCTTGTATTTGTTTTCAAAAATCATTGTCTCATATAAATTTTCCTCATTTACTTTAATTTCCTGCGTTGTTTCATATACTTTTGGAACTTTTATTGTTTTTTTTATTGGAATTTCAATCAATGCGTCTGTACTAGGACGAATCTCTAAAACATTTACACAAACATCTTCCGGTTCCAAAATATCCAAATCTAGGCCAAATAATTTTTCTTGTTGTTCTAATTCGTTCAACATTTTTTCTAACATTTCGTCGATTTGTGTATAGGATGTTGTTTTATGCAAATAGGATTGGATTTTAGGAGAGGAACATATACTACGATTTGGCGTCAACAGCACACTTTCATAAGTTATAAACTGGATTTCCGTCGAGGGAATATCTGTATGAAATAAAACACTTTGAACAAGTTTTCAATACCATAACCTAACCACACTGTAGTAAGAATATTTATATACAATAATATTTTTTTAATAGTATAACAATTGAGTAAAATATTCCAATGATATATGAATGATAAACATAAAAGATTAAGGTGATCCTCTGCCTGCTAATTTTAATTTACATTTGTTTCAATTAGTAAAAGCGGTGCCTATAGAATATAACCTTTAATGATTGCTGAAAAGTTCAAAATTATTTTGTTAGATCCATGCGCATGCCCAAAGACCCCGGTTTATGTTAAGTTTGATAACATTTTTTTCCCGTTTTTTAGTATATCACAGCTTGGCTTAAGCATAAACAAAAATAATTATAAAAATTAAATATTTTGAAATTCAAGCCGATAAAAAGCAGATAGTAGTGGTAGTAGTATTAGTAAGTTAGTAAATTTGGTTTAGTGTTTTAATTGTATTAGTGTCAAGCACATAGTTCAACCTCTGGCTTAAAAAAAGAATTAATAATGGAGGTAGTAAATGAAAATGGGGATGCTCCTAACTTTTGCATGATGACTGTTAGATACCCGCATGTTACAGATTAAGTTTTCAGTTTGTATTATAATAATTAGTATTGTTATTTGTTAGCAGTAAATTATTAAATTAGTACTAATAATGTTATTTAATAAAAGCAAATGAACTTAACAAAGTATTTTTATTAATAAAAATATTTATAAGCATACTTTGTACTCAAGGTTAACATAATATAAACATATATTATACCATTATTAATTTTATAGTCAATTATATTAAATTGACTGAAAACTTAATAAATTCTTAGGACCATTTTTATTGAGAATAATTTAAAAGATCTTACCTTGGAGTGCTGCGTCCTTTTCTAATGTAGCTTTTTCTCCAAAGGAGATATCGGCCGGTTTTTTGCTGGCCTCCCATTCTAAAAAAATAAATATATTAAATAAATGAGGATATTTTAAAATGTAGTGTTTTATTTTTGATATCAGCCATTAGTATAATAAATATAATTTATTTTATAGTTAGTCCCAATCATTCATATCAACTTTTATTTTATTTCACCAGAAAACTCAAAAAAAAATTTTTTTACTTTGAAATATATCATGCAATATTACCTTGTATAACATTGAAATTTTGACCCTTTAAATAAATAATAATATTAATATTACCTTGTTTGTTGACCAACAACTGTTTTGGATTTATAATAACGTGGTTTTGAAAATAAATTTCGTTATCAATAATATCTTCATCCAAAAAGTCTTCTACGTCTGTAACATTCTCAATGTAGCATCCACCTTTTAAATACATTACTTCTTCGGGAGTATCATAATTGACCTTTCTATTAACAGTACTATGCACTTTGCTGCTACCTATTTGATCTAAAACATTAATCTGATTTGGAGTTGCCGTTTCCGCTCTTGAATAGATACCATCATCTTCTTCAGAAGCAGCAAGATCTTCAGTATCTGTTACCATTGGACTGCAAGGGGTATCGTTGGGAATTTTTTTTAAAACTGTTAATCTATCTTTTTGGGAAAAAGGTCCAGAACCATCACGAGTCATAATAATTTCTCCAGACATTTCACGCATGTGTATCGGAATACAAGATAAAGATCTGCTTTCTTTCTCTTCTCTATCTGAATCTGTTTCTATAAACTCAGTGTCGGTTAAAGCATCAGTATTTGTTGGCGCTACTGACAATGTATATGTATTATTTGGAGCAGAATCACTCAAATAAACATCCTCTGTATCAGTCAAACCATCTTTATTATTTTCAGCAACTCCTAAGTTATTACTCCTTTTAGAAGACCTACTCATTATGTATTTAAAAGTTGGAGGCTTTTTTTTTTTAGGTTTATCAATCTCACAAATTTCAGTATCTGTTAGACCATCTACACTTTGGTATACATCTAAATTATTATTCTTAACTGTTTGATCTACAACATCTACAGAACCACCATCGTATATTGGCATATCAGGAGAAATGGAACGATAAGGCTCATCTTCGTCGCAATTATCTTCACCATCTTCTATTTGTTCTTCATCCGTTATTTCACCATCATCATTTTTGAGGCCTAATAAATCATAAATGTGATCTTCACTTAAAGGCATAATTTTTATACTTGGTGTACCTGTGGTCTCCTCTTTTAGGATAATTAGGTTTCTTGTCGGTTTTGGCAAGGTTATATCATCAGTATCATCAAATGAATACTGTGGTATATTTTCATTATCAGAAAAATCTTCACTATCTGTTAAATCATTTTTTACGAGCGCAACAACCATTTCTGCCTTATTATCGTCGTAATCTAAGTCTTCTAAATCTGTTAAATCTTCATTGCTTTCTTTTCTATTTAGTGTGCATTGCCTATGGAATTTGACGGTTCTTTTATTAGTGGGTTTTTCGGTTACACATGTAAAACCAACTTTAATTTCTCCTTTTGGGCTTTTTAAATCATCTAATTCAATATTATCTTCATTTTCAGTTTGGTAATTGTCAGAATCTGTTTTATTATCTTCAAAACTATTAACTTCATTTGCGTTTTTAATTGAATACGTTACTTTTTGGTTTACATTAGCCTCCGTACTAGTTTGAGTACCACCTTCATACATTTTTTCATCTAATGATACTTCTTTTAGGTAAATAGGATTTTCTATAGATGTGTCACTTTCAAAATCTTCTGTATCTGTTAAAGCGCTTATGTCAAAATCGGGTATTTTTAAAGAAACCTTGTTTGAGATTAATTTACATAACGGAAATGGTAATCTGGTATTATCCTCGTTATCAGAATCAACTGGCAAAGTTTGAGTACGCATAATTTGATATATATCATTGCTGTATTTTGCTTTACTAGGTTTGCAAGTATTGTATTTTTTTAATTGTGATTCTTCTTCGGAAAAATATATATCCTCAACATCACTAACAGGAATTTTTTTGTTTGATCTTCGCCTACGTCTAGCCTTGTATTTCTTTTTAGTGGAACCTTCCCCATTTGAATCCGAAGATAATACTTCAACGTCGGTTATATCTGATAAATTTGGAAGCATTATATTAAGATGATATTTTTGTTGAGAGATGGTTCTTCTATTAATTTTATCAGCATCAGCTTGTCTCAGGGGCTGATTTATTTCCCAAACTTTGTTTGTATCTGATACAGAGTCATCTCCTACATAGTAATTTAAGTCGATATCTGAAGTTGAAGATTTAATATTTATATCTTCTTCGGTATCGTAATTTTCAATGTCGGTTCTATAGGGACTGGGGCTTAAATCTCTCTCAGACATTTTTGATTCTCTTTGAGTAACTGAAAACTGAGTTTTTAATTTTTTTTTTCCCTTTGCATTTTTAGTTTGTATTTTAAAAGCCTCATCCGATATTCCAACTTCCATATCCAAATCATCTAAAGAAATTGGTTTTGCATGGGATACAATTTTTGTCGGATAATCTTCATTGTCTGAAGCTTCAAAATCTTCAATGTCTGTAGTAGAACCGTCGCATTCTAATTTAATTTTAAGTTTGGACTTTTTTTGTTGTTTTATAGGAATTTCGTCATAAAGATCTTCAATATCAGTTAAGGCTTCAGCCAAATCCAAAAAGTTGTGATCATCATCTTCTTCAGCTTCTGGAGTTACGGATATTTGTGGAATATCGACAGTTAATGACATGTTGTTTGATTTATTCTTGATATGCCTAAATATTAAAAAGCAATAATTATAAATATATATTTTTATTAATTATGTACCACGTATCTTTAAAGTTTCTATATTTAATGGATATTAGGTATTTGTATTTCTGTCAATAAGTCGCCTATAACTTTACGAATACCTACCTTTTTATCAGCATGATATATTTAAGAAAACTAATCAACTATAGCAAGTTTGGGCTAGTATAATGAAATGCTATAAGCAAAATACTACTTTACGCGTCTAAATTATTTGGGTTGTACCTCTTTACGTGTTTCTATTCGGAAAGCCATGCTGTGGGATGACATCGCTTTTGTATCAGTCAACACAGATGTAGTAGTGTTACCTGATATGGTAACGCCCTCTTCTTTTTCTTCATAGTCGAACTGATACTTTCTTCTTTGTGGAGATACAAGTTGAATATCTAGTATAGGAGAAAGTCGTTCTTCCAAGGAAAATACCGAATGTGATTCTACTTCGCTCTCTTTTAAGCTAGACTGACTTTCGACAAGATTTGTAGATGTTTCTTCCATTTCTTGATATTGAGACATAACAAGTTGTCTTGGTATGGAAATACTGGAAATTTCCTGGGCAATAGTAACATCTACATCAGTACAAGCAATTAAATCTGATACCCGGTGTGTAGTATCCTGTAAATAATCAAAGGACTTTCTTTGCCTAGGAGAAGGACTCTTAAATTTAGTTTCAGAACTAACATCATGATCTGATGGAGAACTAGGTAATGCAACTGATTCCGAAAGACTGGAGTCTGTTGTATCAATTAGTGACAGTTCGGTTTCATTTTTTAGTATGGATGCGACTCTTCTAATATTTTCAAATGGTTGTCGGTATATTACTTCTATAGATCCACCATAATTTCGGGTTCTTGTAAAAACTTCTGAAGTAATAACTTTGGCTCCACCGTTTGCAGATCGTACCCTTATAGGACTTCCTGGTAAAGATGTTGGGCTTGCGCTTTTACGTCCCTCATAAACCAATTCCTGATATGTTGTTGGAATCACGGATTGGCTACGAATACGGTCAGAAAACTGGACGGTTTTTTCACTGTCAATATATTTATAGGACGGTTCTGAAGAAGTTGTAAATTTTTTGATATGTTCAGTTATATACGTACGACGCAATTTTGTCGGGGAAGGACTGGGTTTTGGACTAGAAATGCGGGTTATTATTTCATTCTTATTAATATGGCTATCATGATCGTGAGAATTTCTTAATTTTAAAATACTTGAAAACTTATTTGAATCCAGTAAAAAACTTTCTTTTTTTGATGCTGTTGGACTTTCAGAATAACTTCTGTTAACTTTTTGTTTACTTTTTACTGGAGTTGATTCTCGGGAATGGGTAATTTTTTGTTGTGAGGAAATTGTAGTTCGTTGATACGCGTGACTACTTGTAGATATATTCTCTTTGAATTCGCCAATTTCTTCAGCATTTGGCTTATTTTTTAATGTTTCATTTATGTTATCTGTCTCATGTTTAGATTTTACAGATGTAGAAATAACTGTAAGTGGTTTGTCTATTTTTAAGCTACTCGATACAGTAGATTGCATGTATCCATGAACTCTTTTATCATATTTTTTAATAATTGAAGTAGGTTTCGGTACACTATAAACTGATTTTTTGAGATACGAATGTTTTGGAGTAGTTTCAGTTTCTAAGGTTGTTTTGGTTGTATGTTTTTGAGAGGTATATGATTTTGCTGTTTTTCGTAAAACTTTAGTTTTTATCGATTTGTTAAAATTATGTTCTTCTTCGGAACTAACATCAGCATCACATTCTATTTTGGAAGGTTTGTGCTTTAATGTACGTTTAGGAGATGATTTAATTTCACATTTAGTTTTTTTAGTTTCCTTATCAATTGGCATAAGTAATCGAGAGTCATTATCTTCTACAGTTATTTCTAGTATATCGCCGGTCATAGATATATCTACCGGTTTTAAATTATATTTACTATTTTTTGATTGAAAACGTTTTAAGTCAGTGTAAGATTCAGTCTCAGATGTTTGCATTTCCATATTATTGAACGAATCAGTTTCTAATGAAACTGGCTCAACATCTGTTTCTGAAAATTTTAAAGGTCTTCTTACTCTTTCTTTAACTTTTAACGCTTGTTTATTTGCAACGGATGTTTTCGTATGTCTTTTTAATTTTGAAATTTTATCAGACGTTGTATGTTCTTTTTGGATAACGGTTTTTGTTGTGGAACTTAAAGAATATAATTTATGTAATAAAGTTTCTTTTTCGTTGGATTTATTTATACTTTTAGGTAAACATTTATTATCTACTTGTTTACGTTCACTGGATAATTTTGGAAATACTTTGGTTTCAGGTTTTGAAATAGGTATGGGTGGTTTTGGTTTTTCTAAGTAAGTTGTGGAATGATGGCGTTTTCCAAATGTATCACTTTCTTTGTTAGTTTCATGCCTATTTTGGCTTTGGACAGGTTGTGTTTTTATATTTAGGGAGGAAGTATGTTGTTTTGCATTTAATAAATATTTTTCGTTTTTATTTAAAGTAGTATTATAAATATTTATTTTTTTATTCTTATGTTTGTCATCAAAACTAAGTTTTTTGTTTAATAAAGACGACTTATCCTGATCATTTTTAAAAACTGTTTCTTTAGAACTTATATGTTTTGAAACAAAACTGGCAGGTTTTTTACTTTCTCGTAATAATAAATCTTTTCCTCCATGTGTTTTGGTTGTGACAACCGATAATTTATCAATGGAAGGTAATTTTTCATTCTTAATATTTTGACTTTTGGGTAATTTTATCATTTTTAAGGGCTTTTCATTAAACTTTTTAGTAGCCCGCATGTCAGCAAAATGTACTTTAACATCTTTTGAACTTTTCGGTGATTTGGTTTCAAACGAAGGTTCGCCAGAAGTATATGTTCTTAGGTCAGATTTAACATCATGTATGGGTAGTTTTGGTTTTTCAAGTGGTAATTTTTCATCGGGAGATAATGTATCTTCTATTGGAGTTTTTGGTTTTTTAATTGGTAAATTGTGATCAGAAGATAATTTTTCATGTGTAGGTGATTTTGGTTTTTCAATTGGTAATTTATCATCGGGAGGTAATGTATCATGTGTGGGAGTTTTTGGTTTGTCAACTGGTAATTTGTAATCAGAAAATAATTTATCATGTGTAGGTGATTTTGGTTTTTCAACTAGTAATTTGTCATCAGAAGTTAATTTATCATGTGTAGGTGATTTTGGTTTTTCAATTGGTAATTTATCATCGGGAGATAATGTATCTTGTGTGGGAGTTTTTGGTTTGTCAACTGGTAACTTGTAATCAGAAGATATTTTTTCATGTGAAGGTGATGTTGTTTTTTTAAGTGGTAATTTGCCATCGGATGAAAATTTATCATGTGTAAATGATTTTGGTTTTTCCAGTGGTAATTTGTCATCTGGAGATAATTTATCATGTTTAGGTGATTTTGGTTTGTCAAGTGGTAATTTGTCATCAGAAAATAATTTTTCATGTGTAGGTGATTTTGGTTTTTTTAGTGGTAATTTGTCATCGGATGATAATTTCTCATGTGAAGATGATTTTGGTTTTTCAAGTTGTAATTTGTCATCGGAAGATAATGTATCTTGTGTGGGAGTTTTTGGTTTGTCAACTGGGAATTTGTCATCAGAAGATAATTTATCATGTGTTGGTAATTTTGGTTTTTCAACTGGTAATTTGTAATCAAAAGATAATTTATCATGTTTAGGTGATTTTAGTTTATCAACTGGTAATTTGTCATTAGAAGTTAATTTATCATGTGTAGGTGATTTTGGTTTTTCAAGTTGTAATTTGTCATCGGGAGAAAATGTATCTTGTGTGGGAGTTTTTGGTTTATCAACTGAGAATTTGTCATCAGAAGACAATTTATCATGTGTAGGTGATTTCGGTTTTTCAAGTTGTAATTTGTCATCGGGAGAAAATGTATCTTGTGTGGGAGTTTTTGATTTGTCAACTGGTAATTGGTCATCAGAAGGTATCTTTTCATGTGTTGGTGATTTTGGTTTTTCAAGTGGTAATTTGTCATCAGGAGTCATTTTTATATCCTCTTTAAGATCACCTAATATATCATCAAAAGGTTTTTCATTAAAAGATAATTTATTATGTGTAGGTGATATAGGTTTTTCAAGTGGTAATTTGTCATCGGAAGATAATGTATCTTGTGTAGGTGATTTTGGTTTTTTAAGTGGTAATTTGTCGTCGGGAGAAAATGTATCTTGTGTGGGAGTTTTTGGTTTATCAACTGAGAATTTGTCATCAGAAGACAATTTATCATGTGTAGGTGATTTCGGTTTTTCAAGTTGTAATTTGTCATCGGGAGATAATGTATCTTGTGTGGGAGTTTTTGATTTCTCAACTGGTAATTGGTCATCAGAAGGTATCTTTTCATGTGTTGGTGATTTTGGTTTTTCAAGTGGTAATTTGTCATCAGGAGTCATTTTTATATCCTCTTTAAGATCACCTAATATATCATCAAAAGGTTTTTCATTAAAAGATAATTTATTATGTGTAGGTGATATAGGTTTTTCAAGTGGTAATTTGTCATCGGAAGATAATGTATCTTGTGTAGGTGATTTTGGTTTTTTAAGTGGTAATTTGTCGTCGGGAGGTAATTTTTCTTGTGTGGGAGTTTTTGGTTTGTTAATTCGTAATTTGTCATCAGAAGAAAATTTTTCATGTGTAGGTGATTTTGGTTTTTCAAGTGGTAATTTGTCATCGGAAGATAATGTATCTGGTGTGGGAGTTTTTGATTTGTCAACTGGTAATTGGTCATCAGAAGGTATCTTTTCATGTGTAGGTGATATTGGTTTTTCAAGTGGTAATTTGTCATCGGGAGATAATTTATCATGTTTAGGTGATTTTGATTTGTCATCTGGTAATTTTTCATCAAAAGTTAATTTTTCATGTGTATGTGATTTTGGTTTTTCAAGTGGTAATTTTTCATCAGAAGTCATTTTCATGTCCTCTTTAAGATAAAATGTATCTTGTGTGGGGGTTTTTGGTTTGTCAATTCGTAATTTGTCATCAGAAGAAAATTTTTCTTGTGTAGGAGATTTTGGTTTTTCAAGTGGTAATTTGTCATCGGTAGATAATGTATCTTGTGTAGGTGATTTTGGTTTTTTAAGTGGTAATTTGTCGTCGGGAGGTAATTTTTCTTGTGTGGGAGATTTTGGTTTGTCAATTCGTAATTTGTCATCAGAAGAAAATTTTTCATGTGTAGGTGATTTTGGTTTTTCAAGTGGTAATTTGTCATCGGTAGATAATGTATCTTGTGTTGGTGATTTTGGTTTTTCAAGTGGTAATTTGTCTTTAGGAGTCATTTTTATGTCCTCTTTAAGATCACCTAATATATCATCAAGTCTTTTTATGCATTCGGAAGGTTTTTCATCAGAAGATAATTTATCATGTGTAGGTGATATGGGTTTTTCAACTGGTAATTGGTCATCAAAAGATATTTTTTCATGTGTTGGTGATTTTGGTTTTTCAAGTGGTAATTTGTCATTAGGAGTCATTTTTATGTCCTCTTTAAGATAACCTAATATATCATTAAGTCTTTTTATGCCTTCAGAAGGTTTTTCATCAAAAGATAATTTGTCATGTGTAGGTGATATGGGTTTTTCAAGTGGTAATTTGTCATCGGGAGATAATTTATCATGTGTAGGTGATATTGGTTTTTCAAGTGGTAATTTTTCATCAGGAGTCATTTTCATGTCCTCTTTAAGGTCACCCAATTTATCATCAAGTCTTTTGATGCCTTCAGAAGGTTTTTTATTAGAAGATAATTTATCATGTGTAGGTGATTTTGGTTTTTCAAGTGGTAATTTGTCATCGGGAGATAATGTATCTTGTGTGGGAGTTTTTGATTTGTCAACTGGTAATTGGTCATCAAAAGATAATTTTTCATGTGTAGGTGATCTTGGTAATTTGTCATCGGGAGATAATTTATCATTTGAAGGTGATATTGGTTTTTCAAGTGGTAATTTGTCATCGAGAGATAATTTATAATGTGTAGGTGATATTGGTTTTTCAAGTGGTAATTTGTCATCGGAAGATAATTTATCATGTTTAGGTGATTTTGATTTGTCAACTCGTAATTTGCCATCAGAAGTTAATTTATCATGTGTAGGTGATTTTGGTTTTTCAAGTGGTAATTTGTCATCGGGAGATAATGTATCTTGTGTGGGAGTTTTTGATTTGTCAACTCGTAATTGGTCATCAAAAGATAATTTTTCATGTGTAGGTGATCTTGGTAATTTGTCATCGGGAGATAATTTATCATTTGAAGGTGATATTGGTTTTTCAAGTGGTAATTTGTCATCGGGAGATAATTTATCATGTCTAAGTGATATTGGTTTTTGAAGTGGTAATTCATCATCGGAAGATAATTTATCATGTGTAGGTGATATTGGTTTTTCAAGTGGTAATTTGTCATCGGGAGATAATTTATCATGTTTAGGTGATTTTGATTTGTCAACTGGTAATTTGTCATCAGAAGTTAATTTTTCATGTGTTGGTGATTTTAATTTTTCAAGTTGTAATTTGTCATTAGAAGTCATTTTTATGTCCTCTTTAAGATCACCCAATATATCATCAAGTCTTTTTATGCCTTTTTTTGGTTTGTCAATTCGTAATTTGTCATCAGAAGATAATTTTTCCTGTGAAGGTGATTTTGGTTTTTTAAGTGGTAATTTTTCATCGGGAGATAAGGTATCTGGTGTGGTAGTTTTTGGTTTTTCAACTGGTAATTTGTCATCAGAAGATAATTTATCATGTGAAGGTGAAATAGGTTTTTCAAGTGGAAATTTGTCATCGGGAGATAATTTATCATGTGTAGATAATATAGGTTTTTCAACTGGTAATTTGTCATCAGAAGTTAATTTTTCATGTGTGGGTGATTTTGGTTTTTTAAGTGGTAATTTGTCATTAGGAGTCATTTTTATTTCCTCTTTAAGATCACCTAATAAATCACGTCTTTTTATGCCTTCAGAAGGTTTTTCATCAGAAGATAATTTATCCGGTTTAGGTGATTTTGGTTTGTCAACTGGTAATTTTTCATCAGAAGTAAATTTTTCATGTGAAGTTGATTTTGGTTTTTCAAGTGGTAATTTCTCATCGGGAGATAATGTATCTGGTGTGGGAGTTTTCGGTTTGTCAACCCGTAATTTGTCATAAGAATATAATTTTTCATGTGTGGGTGATTTTGGTTTTTCAAGTGGTAATTTGTCATCTGGAGATAATGTATCTTGAGTGGAAATATTTGGTTTTTCAACTGGTAATTGGTCATCAGGAGATAATTTTTCATGTGTAAGTGATTTTGGTTTTTCAAGTTTTAATTTGTCATCTTGTGTGGAAGTTTTTCGTTTGTGAACTGGTAATATGTCATCAGACGATAATTTATCATGTGTTGGTGATTTTGGTTTTTCAACTGGTAATTTGTCTTCAGAAGATAATTTATCATGTGAAGGTGATATAGATTTTTCAAGTGGTAATTTGTCATCTGGAGATATTTTATCATGTGTAGCTGATATTGGGTTTTCGAGTGGTAATTTGTCATCGGGAGATAATTTATCATGTTTAGGTAATTTTGATGTGTCAACTGGTAATTTATCATCAGAAGTTAATTTGTGATCGGGAGATAATGTATCTTGTGTGGGAGTTTCCGATTTGTCAACTGGTAATTGGTCATCAGAAGGTATTTTTTCATGTGTAGTTGATTTTGGTTTTTCAACTGGTAGTTTGTCATTAAAAGATAATTTTTCCTGTGAAGGTGATTTTGATTTTTCAAGTGGTAATTTCTCATCGGAAGATAATGTATCTGGTGTAGGAGTTTTTGTTTTGTCAACTCGTAATTTGTCATAAGAAAATAATTTTTCATGTTTAGGTGATTTAGGGTTTTCAAGTGGTAATTTGTCATCAGAAGTCATTTTCATGTCCTCTTTAAGATCACCTAATTTATTATCAAGTCTTTTTATGCCTTCAGAAGGTTTTTCATCAGAACATAATTTATCATGTGTAGGTGAAGTTGGTTTTTCAGGTGGTAATTTGTCATCAAAAGTTAATTTTTCATGTGTAGGTGATTTTGATTTTACAATTGGTAATTTGTCATCAAAAGATAATTTATTATGTATAGGTGATTTTGGTTTTTCAAGTTGTAATTTGTCATCGGGAGAAAATGTATCTTGTGTGGGAGTTTTTGGTTTATCAACTGAGAAATTGTCATCAGAAGACAATTTATCATGTGTAGGTGATTTCGGTTTTTCAAGTTGTAATTTGTCATCGGGAGATAATGTATCTTGTGTAGGTGATTTTGGTTTTTTAAGTGGTAATTTGTCGTCGGGAGAAAATGTATCTTGTGTGGGAGTTTTTGGTTTATCAACTGAGAATTTGTCATCAGAAGACAATTTATCATGTGTAGGTGATTTCGGTTTTTCAAGTTGTAATTTGTCATCGGGAGATAATGTATCTTGTGTGGGAGTTTTTGATTTCTCAACTGGTAATTGGTCATCAGAAGGTATCTTTTCATGTGTTGGTGATTTTGGTTTTTCAAGTGGTAATTTGTCATCAGGAGTCATTTTTATATCCTCTTTAAGATCACCTAATATATCATCAAAAGGTTTTTCATTAAAAGATAATTTATTATGTGTAGGTGATATAGGTTTTTCAAGTGGTAATTTGTCATCGGAAGATAATGTATCTTGTGTAGGTGATTTTGGTTTTTTAAGTGGTAATTTGTCGTCGGGAGAAAATGTATCTTGTGTGGGAGTTTTTGGTTTATCAACTGAGAATTTGTCATCAGAAGACAATTTATCATGTGTAGGTGATTTCGGTTTTTCAAGTTGTAATTTGTCATCGGGAGATAATGTATCTTGTGTGGGAGTTTTTGATTTCTCAACTGGTAATTGGTCATCAGAAGGTATCTTTTCATGTGTTGGTGATTTTGGTTTTTCAAGTGGTAATTTGTCATCAGGAGTCATTTTTATATCCTCTTTAAGATCACCTAATATATCATCAAAAGGTTTTTCATTAAAAGATAATTTATTATGTGTAGGTGATATAGGTTTTTCAAGTGGTAATTTGTCATCGGAAGATAATGTATCTTGAGTAGGTGATTTTGGTTTTTTAAGTGGTAATTTGTCGTCGGGAGGTAATTTTTCTTGTGTGGGAGTTTTTGGTTTGTTAATTCGTAATTTGTCATCAGAAGAAAATTTTTCATGTGTAGGTGATTTTGGTTTTTCAAGTGGTAATTTGTCATCGGAAGATAATGTATCTGGTGTGGGAGTTTTTGATTTGTCAACTGGTAATTGGTCATCAGAAGGTATCTTTTCATGTGTAGGTGATATTGGTTTTTCAAGTGGTAATTTGTCATCGGGAGATAATTTATCATGTTTAGGTGATTTTGATTTGTCATCTGGTAATTTTTCATCAAAAGTTAATTTTTCATGTGTATGTGATTTTGGTTTTTCAAGTGGTAATTTTTCATCAGAAGTCATTTTCATGTCCTCTTTAAGATAAAATGTATCTTGTGTGGGGGTTTTTGGTTTGTCAATTCGTAATTTGTCATCAGAAGAAAATTTTTCCTGTGTAGGAGATTTTGGTTTTTCAAGTGGTAATTTGTCATCGGTAGATAATGTATCTTGTGTAGGTGATTTTGGTTTTTTAAGTGGTAATTTGTCGTCGGGAGGTAATTTTTCTTGTGTGGGAGATTTTGGTTTGTCAATTCGTAATTTGTCATCAGAAGAAAATTTTTCATGTGTAGGTGATTTTGGTTTTTCAAGTGGTAATTTGTCATCGGTAGATAATGTATCTTGTGTTGGTGATTTTGGTTTTTCAAGTGGTAATTTCTCTTTAGGAGTCATTTTTATGTCCTCTTTAAGATCACCTAATATATCATCAAGTCTTTTTATGCCTTCGGAAGGTTTTTCATCAGAAGATAATTTATCATGTGTAGGTGATATGGGTTTTTCAACTGGTAATTGGTCATCAAAAGATATTTTTTCATGTGTTGGTGATTTTGGTTTTTCAAGTGGTAATTTGTCATTAGGAGTCATTTTTATGTCCTCTTTAAGATAACCTAATATATCATTAAGTCTTTTTATGCCTTCAGAAGGTTTTTCATCAAAAGATAATTTGTCATGTGTAGGTGATATGGGTTTTTCAAGTGGTAATTTGTCATCGGGAGATAATTTATCATGTGTAGGTGATATTGGTTTTTCAAGTGGTAATTTTTCATCAGGAGTCATTTTCATGTTCTCTTTAAGGTCACCCAATTTATCATCAAGTCTTTTGATGCCTTCAGAAGGTTTTTTATTAGAAGATAATTTATCATGTGTAGGTGATTTTGGTTTTTCAAGTGGTAATTTGTCATCGGGAGATAATGTATCTTGTGTGGGAGTTTTTGATTTGTCAACTGGTAATTGGTCATCAAAAGATAATTTTTCATGTGTAGGTGATCTTTGTAATTTGTCATCGGAAGATAATTTATCATTTGAAGGTGATATTGGTTTTTCAAGTGGTAATTTGTCATCGAGAGATAATTTATAATGTGTAGGTGATATTGGTTTTTCAAGTGGTAATTTGTCATCGGAAGATAATTTATCATGTTTAGGTGATTTTGATTTGTCAACTCGTAATTTGCCATCAGAAGTTAATTTATCATGTGTAGGTGATTTTGGTTTTTCAAGTGGTAATTTGTCATCGGGAGATAATGTATCTTGTGTGGGAGTTTTTGATTTGTCAACTCGTAATTGGTCATCAAAAGATAATTTTTCATGTGTAGGTGATCTTGGTAATTTGTCATCGGGAGATAATTTATCATTTGAAGGTGATATTGGTTTTTCAAGTGGTAATTTGTCATCGGGAGATAATTTATCATGTCTAAGTGATATTGGTTTTTGAAGTGGTAATTCATCATCGGAAGATAATTTATCATGTGTAGGTGATATTGGTTTTTCAAGTGGTAATTTGTCATCGGGAGATAATTTATCATGTTTAGGTGATTTTGATTTGTCAACTGGTAATTTGTCATCAGAAGTTAATTTTTCATGTGTTGGTGATTTTAATTTTTCAAGTTGTAATTTGTCATTAGAAGTCATTTTTATGTCCTCTTTAAGATCACCCAATATTTCATTAAGTCTTTTTATGCCTTTTTTTGGTTTGTCAATTCGTAATTTGTCATCAGAAGATAATTTTTCCTGTGAAGGTGATTTTGGTTTTTCAAGTGGTAATTTTTCATCGGGAGATAAGGTATCTGGTGTGGTAGTTTTTGGTTTTTCAACTGGTAATTTGTCATCAGAAGATAATTTATCATGTGAAGGTGAAATAGGTTTTTCAAGTGGAAATTTGTCATCGGGAGATAATTTATCATGTGTAGATAATATAGGTTTTTCAACTGGTAATTTGTCATCAGAAGTTAATTTTTCATGTGTGGGTGATTTTGGTTTTTTAAGTGGTAATTTGTCATTAGGAGTCATTTTTATTTCCTCTTTAAGATCACCTAATAAATCACGTCTTTTTATGCCTTCAGAAGGTTGTTCATCAGAAGATAATTTATCCGGTTTAGGTGATTTTGGTTTGTCAACTGGTAATTTTTCATCAGAAGTAAATTTTTCATGTGAAGTTGATTTTGGTTTTTCAAGTGGTAATTTCTCATCGGGAGATAATGTATCTGGTGTGGGAGTTTTTGGTTTGTCAACCCGTAATTTCTCATAAGAATATAATTTTTCATGTGTGGGTGATTTTGGTTTTTCAAGTGGTAATTTGTCATCTGGAGATAATGTATCTTGAGTGGAAATATTTGGTTTTTCAACTGGTAATTGGTCATCAGGAGATAATTTTTCATGTGTAAGTGATTTTGGTTTTTCAAGTTTTAATTTGTCATCTTGTGTGGAAGTTTTTCGTTTGTGAACTGGTAATATGTCATCAGACGATAATTTATCATGTGTTGGTGATTTTGGTTTTTCAACTGGTAATTTGTCTTCAGAAGATAATTTATCATGTGAAGGTGATATAGATTTTTCAAGTGGTAATTTGTCATCTGGAGATATTTTATCATGTGTAGCTGATATTGGGTTTTTGAGTGGTAATTTGTCATCGGGAGATAATTTATCATGTTTAGGTAATTTTGATGTGTCAACTGGTAATTTATCATCAGAAGTTAATTTGTGATCGGGAGATAATGTATCTTGTGTGGGAGTTTCCGATTTGTCAACTGGTAATTGGTCATCAGAAGGTATTTTTTCATGTGTAGTTGATTTTGGTTTTTCAACTGGTAGTTTGTCATTAAAAGATAATTTTTCCTGTGAAGGTGATTTTGATTTTTCAAGTGGTAATTTCTCATCGGAAGATAATGTATCTGGTGTAGGAGTTTTTGTTTTGTCAACTCGTAATTTGTCATAAGAAGATAATTTTTCATGTTTAGGTGATTTAGGGTTTTCAAGTGGTAATTTGTCATCAGAAGTCATTTTCATGTCCTCTTTAAGATCACCTAATTTATTATCAAGTCTTTTTATGCCTTCAGAAGGTTTTTCATCAGAACATAATTTATCATGTGTAGGTGAAGTTGGTTTTTCAGGTGGTAATTTGTCATCAAAAGTTAGTTTTTCATGTGTAGGTGATTTTGATTTTACAACTGGTAATTTGTCATTAAAAGATAATTTATTATGTACAGGTGATTTTGGTTTTTCAAGTGGTAATTTGTCATCTGGAGTCATTTTTATTTCCTCTTTAAGATCACCTAATAAATCAAGTCTTTTTATGCCTTCAGAAGGTTTTTTATCAGAAGATAATTTATCAGGTTTAGGTGATTTTGGTTTGTCAACTGGTAATTCTTCATCAGAAATAAATTTTTCATGTGAAGTTGATTTTGGTTTTTCAAGTGGTAATTTCTCATCGGGAGGTAATGTACCTGGTGTTGGAGTTTTTGGTTTGTCAACCCGTAATTTGTCATAAGAAGATAATTTTTCATGTGTGGGTGATTTTGGTTTTTCAAGTGGTAATTTGTCATCTGGAGTGGAAATTTTTGGTTTTTCAACTGGTAATTGGTCATCAGGAGATAATTTTTCATATGTAGGTGATTTTGGTTTTTCAAATTTTAATTTGTCATCTTGTGTGAAAGTTTTTCGTTTGTGAACTGGTAATATGTCATCAAAGGATAATTTATAATGTTTTGGTGATTTTGGTTTTTCAACTGGTAATTTGTCATCAGAAGATAATTTATCATGTGAAGGTGATATAGATTTTTTAAGTGGTAATTTGTCATCGGGAGATAATGTATCTTGTGTGGAAGTTTTTGGTTTGTGAACTGGTAATATGTCATCAGACGATAATTTATCATGTGTTGGTAACTGGTCATCAGAAGTTAATTTTTCATGTGTAGGTGATTTTAGTTTTTCAAGTGGTAATTTGTCATCAGAAGATAATTTATCATGTATAGGTTTTTCAAGGGGTAATTTGTCATCGGGAGATAATTTATCATGTGTAGGTGATATTGTTTTTTCAAGTGGTAATTTGTCATCGGGAGATACTTTATCATGTGTGGGAGTTTTTGATTTGTCAACTGGTAATTGGTCATCAGAAGATAATTTATCATGTGAAGGTGAAATAGGTTTTTCAAGTAGAAATTTGTCATCGGGAGATAATTTATCATGTGTAGGTGAAATAGGTTTTTCAACTGGTAATTTGTCATCAGAAGTTAATTTTTCATGTGTGGGTGATTTTGGTTTTTTAAGTGGTAATTTGTCATTGGGAGTTATTTTTATTTCCTCTTTAAGATCACCTAATAAATCAAGTCTTTTTATGCCTTCAGAAGGTTTTTCATCAGAAGATAATTTATCAGGTTTAGGTGATTTTGGTTTGTCAACTGGTAATTTTTCATCAGAAGTTTTTGGTTTTTCAAGTGGTAATTTCTCATCGAGAGATGATGTATCTGGTGTGGGAGTTTTTGGTTTGTCAACCCGTAATTTGTCATAAGAAGATAATTTTTTATGTGTGTGTGATTTTGGTTTTTCAAGTGGTAATTTGTCATCTGAAGATAATGTATCTTGAGTGGAAATTTTTGGTTTTTCAACTAGTAATTGGTCATCAGGAGATAATTTTTCATATGTAGGTGATTTTGGTTTTTCAAGTTTTAATTTGTCATCCTGTGTGGAAGTTTTTCGTTTGTGAACTGGTAATATGTCATCAGACGATAATTCATCATGTGTTGGTGATTTTGGTTTTTCAACTGGTAATTTGTCATCAGAAGATAATTTATCATGTGAAGGTGATATAGATTTTTCAAGTGGTAATTTGTCGTCGGGAGATAATTTATCATGTGTCTCTGATATTGGTTTTTCAAGTGGTAATTTGTCATCGGGAGATATTTTTTCATGTGTTGGTGATTTTGGTTTTTCAAGTGGTATTTTGTCATCGGGAGATAATTTATCATGTTTAGGTGATTTTGATGTGTCAACTGGTAATTTATCATCAGAAGTTAATTTGTCATCGGGAGATAATGTTTCTTGTGTGGAAGTTTTTGATTTGTCAACTGGTAATTTATCATCAGAAGTTAATTTGTCATCGGGAGATAATGTATCTTGTGTGGAAGTTTTTGGTTTTTCAACTGGTAATATGTCATCAGACGATAATTTATCATGTGTTGGTAACTGGTCATCAGAAGTTAATTTTTCATGTGTAGGTGATTTTAGTTTTTCAAGTGGTAATTTGTCATCAGAAGATAATTTATCATGTATAGGTTTTTCAAGTGGTAATTTGTCATCGGGAGATAATTTATCATGTGTAGGTGATATTGTTTTTTCAAGTGGTAATTTGTCATCGGGAGATAATTTATCATGTGTAGGTGATATTGTTTTTTCAAGTGGTAATTTGTCATCGGGAGATAATGTATCTTGTATGGGAGTTTTTGATTTGTCAACTGGTAATTGGTCATCAGAAGATAATTTATCATGTGAAGGTGAAATAGTTTTTTCAAGTGGAAATTTGTCATCGGGAGATAATTTATCATGTGTCGGTGAAATAGGTTTTTCAACTGGTAATTTGTCATCAGAAGTTAATTTTTCATGTGTGGGTGATTTTGGTTTTTTAAGTGGTAATTTGTCATTGGGAGTTATTTTTATTTCCTCTTTAAGATCACCTAATAAATCAAGTCTTTTTATGCCTTCAGAAGGTTTTTCATCAGAAGATAATTTATCAGGTTTAGGTGATTTTGGTTTGTCAACTGGTAATTTTTCTTTAGAAGTTTTTGGTTTTTCAAGTGGTAATTTCTCATCGGGAGATGATGTATCTGGTGTGGGAGTTTTTGGTTTGTCAACCCGTAATTTGTCATAAGAAGATAATTTTTCATGTGTGTGTGATTTTGGTTTTTCAAGTGGTAATTTGTCATCTGAAGATAATGTATCTTGAGTGGAAATTTTTGGTTTTTCAACTAGTAATTGGTTATCAGGAGATAATTTTTCATATGTAGGTAATTTTGGGTTTTCAAGTTTTAATTTGTCATCTTGTAGGGAAGTTTTTCGTTTGTGAACTGGTAATATGTCATCAGACGATAATTTATCATGTGTTGGTGATTTTGGTTTTTCAACTGCTAATTTGTCATCAGAAGATAATTTATCATGTGAAGGTGATATAGATTTTTCAAGTGGTAATTTGTCATCGGAAGATAATTTATCATGTGTATCTGATATTGGTTTTTCAAGTGGTAATTTGTCATCGGGAGATATTTTTTCATGTGTTGGTGATTTTGGTTTTTCAAGTGGTAATTTGTCATCGGGAGATAATTTATCATGTTTAGGTGATTTTGATGTGTCAACTGGTAATTTATCATAAGAAGTTAATTTGTCATCGGGAGATAATGTATCTTGTGTGGAAGTTTTTGGTTTGTGAACTGGTAATATGTTATCAGACGAAAATTTATCATGTGTTGGTGATTTTGGTTTGTCAACTGGTAATTTTTCATCAAAAGTTTTTGGTTTTTCAAGTGGTAATTTCTCATCGGGAGATGATGTATCTGGTGTGGGAGTTTTTGGTTTGTCAACCCGTAATTTGTAATAAGAAGATAATTTTTCATGTGTGTGTGATTTTGGTTTTTCAAGTGGTAATTTGTCATCAGAAGATAATTTATCATGTGAAGCTGATATAAATTTTTCAAGTGGTAATTTGTCATTTGGAGATAATGTATCTTGTGTGGAAGTTTTTGGTTTGTGAACTGGTAATATGTCATCAGACGATAATTTATCATGTGTTGGTGATTTTGGTTTTTCAAGTGGTGATTTGTCAACGGGAGATAATGTATCTTGTGTGGGAGTTTCCGATTTGTTAACTGGTAATTGGTCATCAGAAAGTATTTTTTCATGTGTAGTTGATTTTGGTTTTTCAACTGGTAGTTTGTCATTAGAAGATAATTTTTCCTGTGAAGGTGATTTTGATTTTTCAAGTGGTAATTTCTTATCGGAAGATAATGTATCTGGTGTGGGAGTTTTTGGTTTTTCAAGTGGTAATTTGTCATCAGAAGATAATTTATCATGTGAAGCTGATATAGATTTTTTAAGTGGTAATTTGTCATTTGGAGATAATGTATCTTGTGTGGAAGTTTTTGGTTTGTGAACTGGTAATATGTCATTAGACGATAATTTATCATGTGTTGGTGATTTTGGTTTTTCAAGTGGTGATTTGTCAACGGGAGATAATGTATCTTGTGTGGAAGTTTCCGATTTGTTAACTGGTAATTGGTCATCAGAAAGTATTTTTTCATGTGTAGTTGATTTTGGTTTTTCAACTGGTAATTTGTCATCAGAAGATAATTTATCATGTGAAGCTGATATAGATTTTTCAAGTGGTAATTTGTCATCGGGAGATAATGTATCTTGTGTGGGAGTTTCCGATTTGTCAACTGGTAATTGGTCATCAGAAAGTATTTTTTCATGTGTAGTTGATTTTGGTTTTTCAACTGGTAGTTTGTCATTAGAAGATAATTTTTCCTGTGAAGGTGATTTTGATTTTTCAAGTGGTAATTTCTCATCGGAAGATAATGTATCTGGTGTGGGAGTTTTTGGTTTGTCAACTCGTAATTTGTCATAAGAAGATAATTTTTCATGTTTAGGTGATTTAGGTTTTTCAAGCGGTAATTTGTCATCAGAAGTCATTTTCATGTCCTCTTTAATATCACCTAATTTATTATCAAGTCTTTTTATGCCTTCAGAAGGTATTTCATCAGAAGATAATTTTTCATGTGTAGGTGATTTTGATTTTACAACTGGTAATTTGTCATTAAAAAATAATTTATTATGTACAGGTGATTTTGGTTTTTCAAGTGGTAATTTGTCATCGGGAGTCATTTTTATTTCCTCTTTAAGATCACCTAATAAATCAAGTCTTTTTATGCCTTTAGAAGGTTTTTTATCAGAAGATAATTTATCAGGTTTAGTTGATTTTGGTTTGTCAACTGGTAATTCTTCATCAGAAGTAAATTTTTCATGTGAAGTTGATTTTAGTTTTTCAAGTGGTAATTTTTCATCGGGAGATAATGTATCTGGTGTGGGAGTTTTTGGTTTGTCAACTGGTAATTGGTCATCAGGAGATAATTTTTCATATGTAGGTGATTTTGGTTTTTCAAATTTTAATTTGTCATCTTGTGTGGAAGTTTTTCGTTTGTGAACTGGTAATATGTCATCAGACGATAATTTATCATGTGAAGGTGATATAAATTTTTCAAGTGGTAATTTAACATCGGGAGATAATGTATCTTGTGTGAAAGTTTTTGGTTTGTGAACTGGTAATATGTCATCAGACGATAATTTATAATGTGTTGGTAACTGGTCATCAGAAGTTAATTTTTCATGTGTAGGTGATTTTAGTTTTTCAAGTGGTAATTTGTCATCAGAAGATAATTTATCATGTATAGGTTTTTCAAGTGGTAATTTGTCATCGGGAGATAATTTATCATGTGTAGGTGATATTGTTTTTTTAAGTGGTAATTTGTCATCGGGAGATAATTTATCATGTGTAGGTGATATTGTTTTTTCAAGTGGTAATTTGTCATCGGGAGATAATGTATCTTGTGTGGGAGTTTTTGATTTGTCAACTGGTAATTGGTCATCAGAAGATAATTTATCATGTGAAGGTGAAATAGGTTTTTCAAGTGGAAATTTGTCATCGGGAGATAATTTATCATGTGTAGGTGAAATAGGTTTTTCAACTGGTAATTTGTCATCAGAAGTTAATTTTTCATGTGTGGGTGATTTTGGTTTTTTAAGTGGTAATTTGTCATTGGGAGTTATTTTTATATCCTCTTTAAGATCACCTAATAAATCAAGTCTTTTTATGCCTTCAGAAGGTTTTTCATCAGAAGATAATTTATCAGGTTTAGGTGATTTTGGTTTGTCAACTGGTAATTTTTCATCAGAAGTTTTTGGTTTTTCAAGTGGTAATTTCTCATCGGGAGATGATGTATCTGGTGTGGGGGTTTTTGGTTTGTCAACCCGTAATTTGTCATAAGAAGATAATTTTTCATGTGTGTGTGATTTTGGTTTTTTAAGTGGTAATTTGTCATCTGAAGATAATGTATCTTGAGTGGAAATTTTTGGTTTTTCAACTAGTAATTGGTCATCAGGAGATAATTTTTCATATTTACGTGATTTTGGTTTTTCAAGTTTTAATTTGTCATCTTGTGTGGAAGTTTTTCGTTTGTGAACTGGTAATATGTCATCAGACGATAATTTATGATGTGTTGGTGATTTTGGTTTTTCAACTGGTAATTTGTCATCAGAAGATAATTTATCATGAGAAGGTGATATAGATTTTTCAAGTGGTAATTTGTCATCGGGAGATAATTTATCATGTGTATCTAATATTGGTTTTTCAAGTGGTAATTTGTCATCGGAAGATATTTTTTCATGTGTTGGTGATTTTGGTTTTTCAAGTGGTAATTTGTCATCGGGAGATAATTTATCATGTTTAGGTGATTTTGATGTGTCAACTGGTAATTTATCATCAGAAGTTAATTTGTCATCGGGAGATAATGTATCTTGTGTGAAAGTTTTTGATTTGTCAACTGGTAATTTATCATCAGAAGTTAATTTGTCATCGGGAGATAATGTATTTTGTGTGGAAGTTTTTCGTTTGTGAACTGGTAATATGTCATCAGACGATAATTTATCATGTGGTGGTGATTTTGGTTTTTCAACTGGTAATTTGTCATCAGAAGATAATTTATCATGTGAAGGTGATATAGATTTTTCAAGTGGTAATTTGTCATCGGGAGATAATTTATCATGTGTATCTAATATTGGTTTTTCAAGTGGTAATTTGTCATCGGAAGATATTTTTTCATGTGTTGGTGATTTTGGTTTTTCAAGTGGTAATTTGTTATCAGGAGATAATTTATCATGTTTAGGTGATTTTGATGTGTCAACTGGTAATTTATCATCAGAAGTTAATTTGTCATCGGGAGATAATGTATCTTGTGTGAAAGTTTTTGATTTGTCAACTGGTAATTTATTATCAGAAGTTAATTTGTCATCGGGAGATAATGTATTTTGTGTGGAAGTTTTTGGTTTGTGAACTGGTAATATGTCATCAGACGATAATTTATCATGTATTGGTGATTTTGGTTTTTCAAGTGGTGATTTGTCAACGGGAGATAATGTATCTTGTGTGGGAGTTTCCGATTTGTCAACTGGTAATTGGTCATCAGAAAGGATTTTTTCATGTGTAGTTGATTTTGGTTTTTCAACTGGTAGTTTGTCATTAGAAGATAATTTTTCCTGTGAAGGTGATTTTGATTTTTCAAGTGGTAATTTCTCATCGGAAGATAATGTATCTGGTGTGGGAGTTTTTGGTTTGTCAACTCGTAATTTGTCATAAGAAGATAATTTTTCATGTTTAGGTGATTTAGGTTTTTTAAGCGGTAATTTGTCATCAGAAGTCATTTTCATGTCCTCTTTAATATCACCTAATTTATTATCAAGTCTTTTTATGCCTTCAGAAGGTATTTCATCAGAAGATAATTTTTCATGTGTAGGTGATTTTGATTTTACAACTGGTAATTTGTCATTAAAAGATAATTTATTATGTACAGGTGATTTTGGTTTTTCAAGTGGTAATTTGTCATCGGGAGTCATTTTTATTTCCTCTTTAAGATCACCTAATAAATCAAGTCTTTTTATGCCTTCAGAAGGTTTTTTATCAGAAGATAATTTATCAGGTTTAGTTGATTTTGGTTTGTCAACTGGTAATTCTTCATCAGAAGTAAATTTTTCATGTGAAGTTGATTTTAGTTTTTCAAGTGGTAATTTCTCATCGGGAGATAATGTATCTGGTGTGGGAGTTTTTGGTTTGTCAACCCGTAATTTGTCATAAGAAGATAATTTTTCATGTGTGGGTGATTTTGGTTTTTTAAGTGGTAATTTGTCATCTGGAGTGGAAATTTTTGGTTTTTCAACTGGTAATTGGTCATCAGGAGATAATTTTTCATATGTAGGTGATTTTGGTTTTTCAAATTTTAATTTGTCATCTTGTGTGGAAGTTTTTCGTTTGTGAACGGGTAATATGTCATCAGACGATAATTTATCATGTGTTGGTGATTTTGGTTTTTCAACTGGTAATTTGTCATCAGAAGATAATTTATCATGTGAAGGTGATATAGATTTTTCAAGTGGTAATTTGTCATCGGAAGATAATGTATCTTGTGTGGAAGTTTTTGGTTTGTGAACTGGTAATATGTCATCAGACGATAATTTATCATGTGTTGGTAACTGGTCATCAGAAGTTAATTTTTCATGTGTAGGTGATTTTAGTTTTTCAAGTGGTAATTTGTCATCAGAAGATAATTTATCATGTATAGGTTTTTCAAGTGGTAATTTGTCATCGGGAAATAATTTATCATGTGTAGGTGATATTGTTTTTTCAAGTGGTAATTTGTCATCGGGAGATAATGTATCTTGTGTGGGAGTTTTTGATTTGTCAACTGGTAATTGGTCATCAGAAGATAATTTATCATTTGAAGGTGAAATAGGTTTTTCAAGTGGAAATTTGTCATCGGGAGATAATTTATCATGTGTAGGTGAAATAGGTTTTTTAACTGGTAATTTGTCATCAGAAGTTAATTTTTCATGTGTGGGTGATTTTGGTTTTTTAAGTGGTAATTTGTCATTGGGAGTTATTTTTATTTCCTCTTTAAGATCACCTAATAAATCAAGTCTTTTTATGCCTTCAGAAGGTTTTTCATCAGAAGATAATTTATCAGGTTTAGGTGATTTTGGTTTGTCAACTGGTAATTTTTCATCAGAAGTTTTTGGTTTTTCAATTGGTAATTTGTCATCTTGTGTGGAAGTTTTTCGTTTGTGAACTGGTAATATGTCATCAGACGATAATTTATCATGTGTTGGTGATTTTGGTTTTTCAACTGGTAATTTGTCATCAGAAGATAATTTATCATGTGAAGGTGATATAGATTTTTCAAGTGGTAATTTGTCATCGGGAGATAATTTATCATGTGTATCTGATATTGGTTTTTCAAGTGGTAATATGTCATCGGGAGATATTTTTTCATGTGTTGGTGATTTTGGTTTTTCAAGTGGTAATTTGTCATCGGGAGATAATTTATCATCAGAAGTTAATTTGTCATCGAGAGATAATGTATCTTGTGTGGAAGTTTTTGATTTGTCAACTGGTAATTTATCTTTAGAAGTTAATTTGTCATCGGGAGATAATGTATCTTGTGTGGAAGTTTTTGGTTTGTGAACTGGTAATATGTCATCAAACGATAATTTATCATGTGTTGGTGATTTTGGTTTTTCAAGTGGTGATTTGTCAACGGGAGATAATTTATCTTGTGTGGGAGATTCCGATTTGTCAACTGGTAATTGGTCATCAGAAAGTATTTTTTCATGTGTAGTTGATTTTGGTTTTTCGACTGGTAGTTTGTCATTAGAAGATAATTTTTCCTGTGAAGGTGATTTTGATTTTTCAAGTGGTAATTTCTCATCGGAAGATAATGTATCTGGTGTGGGAGTTTTTGGTTTGTCAACTCGTAATTTGTCATAAGAAGTTAATTTTTCATGTTTAGGTGATTTAGGTTTTTCAAGCGGTAATTTGTCATCAGAAGTCATTTTCATGTCCTCTTTAATATCACCTAATTTATTATCAAGTCTTTTTATGCCTTCAGAAAGTTTTTCATCAGAAGATAATTTTTCATGTGTAGGTGATTTTGATTTTACAACTGGTAATTCTTCATCAGAAGTAAATTTTTCATGTGAAGTTGATTTTGGTTTTTCAAGTGGTAATTTCTCATCGGGAGATAATGTATCTGGTGTGGGAGTTTTTGGTTTGTCAACCCGTAATTTGTCATAAGAAGATAATTTTTCATGTGTGGGTGATTTTGGTTTTTCAAGTGGTAATTTGTCATCTGTAGTGGAAATTTTTGGGTTTTCAACTGGTAATTGGTCATCAGGAGATAATTTTTCATATGTAGGTGATTTTGGTTTTTCAAATTTTAATTTGTCATCTTGTGTGGAAGTTTTTCGTTTGTGAACTGGTAATATGTCATCAGACGATAATTTATCATGTGTTGGTGATTTTGGTTTTTCAACTGGTAATTTGTCATCAGAAGATAATTTATCATGTGAAGGTGATATAGATTTTTCAAGTGGTAATTTGTCATCGGGAGATAATGTATCTTGTGTGGAAGTTTTTGGTTTGTGAACTGGTAATATGTCATCAGACGATAATTTATCATGTGTTGGTAACTGGTCATCAGAAGTTAATTTTTCATGTGTAGGTGATTTTAGTTTTTCAAGTGGTAATTTGTCATCAGAAGATAATTTATCATGTATCGGTTTTTCAAGTGGTAATTTGTCATCGGGAGATAATTTATCATGTGTAGGTGATATTGTTTTTTCAAGTGGTAATTTGTCATCGGGAGATAATGTATCTTGTGTGGGAGTTTTTGATTTGTCAACTGGTAATTGGTCATCAGAAGATAATTTATCATTTGAAGGTGAAATAGGTTTTTCAAGTGGAAATTTGTCATCGGGAGATAATTTATCATGTGTAGGTGAAATAGGTTTTTTAACTGGTAATTTGTCATCAGAAGTTAATTTTTCATGTGTGGGTGATTTTGGTTTTTTAAGTGGTAATTTGTCATTGGGAGTTATTTTTATTTCCTCTTTAAGATCACCTAATAAATCAAGTCTTTTTATGCCTTCAGAAGGTTTTTCATCAGAAGATAATTTATCAGGTTTAGGTGATTTTGGTTTGTCAACTGGTAATTTTTCATCAGAAGTTTTTGGTTTTTCAAGTGGTAATTTCTCATCGGGAGATGATGTATCTGGTGTGTGAGTTTTTGGTTTGTCAACCCGTAATTTGTCATAAGAAGATAATTTTTCATGTGTGGGTGATTTTGATTTTTCAAGTGGTAATTTGTCATCTTGTGTGGAAGTTTTTCGTTTGTGAACTGGTAATATGTCATCAGACGATAATTTATCATGTGTTGGTGATTTTGGTTTTTCAACTGGTAATTTGTCATCAGAAGATAATTTATCATGTGAAGGTGATATAGATTTTTCAAGTGGTAATTTGTCATCGGGAGATAATTTATCATGTGTATCTGATATTGGTTTTTCAAGTGGTAATATGTCATCGGGAGATATTTTTTCATGTGTTGGTGATTTTGGTTTTTCAAGTGATAATTTGTCATCGGGAGATAATTTATCATGTTTAGGTGATTTTGATGTGTCAACTGGTAATTTATCTTTAGAAGTTAATTTGTCATCGGGAGATAATGTATCTTGTGTGGAAGTTTTTGGTTTGTGAACTGGTAATATGTCATCAAACGATAATTTATCATGTGTTGGTGATTTTGGTTTTTCAAGTGGTGATTTGTCAACGGGAGATAATTTATCTTGTGTGGGAGATTCCGATTTGTCAACTGGTAATTGGTCATCAGAAAGTATTTTTTCATGTGTAGTTGATTTTGGTTTTTCGACTGGTAGTTTGTCATTAGAAGATAATTTTTCCTGTGAAGGTGATTTTGATTTTTCAAGTGGTAATTTCTCATCGGAAGATAATGTATCTGGTGTGGGAGTTTTTGGTTTGTCAACTCGTAATTTGTCATAAGAAGATAATTTTTCATGTTTAGGTGATTTAGGTTTTTCAAGCGGTAATTTGTCATCAGAAGTCATTTTCATGTCCTCTTTAATATCACCTAATTTATTATCAAGTCTTTTTATGCCTTCAGAAAGTTTTTCATCAGAAGATAATTTTTCATGTGTAGGTGATTTTGATTTTACAACTGGTAATTCTTCATCAGAAGTAAATTTTTCATGTGAAGTTGATTTTGGTTTTTCAAGTGGTAATTTCTCATCGGGAGATAATGTATCTGGTGTGGGAGTTTTTGGTTTGTCAACCCGTAATTTGTCATAAGAAGATAATTTTTCATGTGTGGGTGATTTTGGTTTTTCAAGTGGTAATTTGTCATCTGTAGTGGAAATTTTTGGGTTTTCAACTGGTAATTGGTCATCAGGAGATAATTTTTCATATGTAGGTGATTTTGGTTTTTCAAATTTTAATTTGTCATCTTGTGTGGAAGTTTTTCGTTTGTGAACTGGTAATATGTCATCAGACGATAATTTATCATGTGTTGGTGATTTTGGTTTTTCAACTGGTAATTTGTCATCAGAAGATAATTTATCATGTGAAGGTGATATAGATTTTTCAAGTGGTAATTTGTCATCGGGAGATAATGTATCTTGTGTGGAAGTTTTTGGTTTGTGAACTGGTAATATGTCATCAGACGATAATTTATCATGTGTTGGTAACTGGTCATCAGAAGTTAATTTTTCATGTGTAGGTGATTTTAGTTTTTCAAGTGGTAATTTGTCATCAGAAGATAATTTATCATGTATAGGTTTTTCAAGTGGTAATTTGTTATCGGAAGATAATTTATCATGTGTAGGTGATATTATTTTTTCAAGTGGTAATTTGTCATCGGGAGATAATGTATCTTGTGTGGGAGTTTTTGATTTGTCAACTGTTAATTGGTCATCAGAAGATAATTTATCATTTGAAGGTGAAATAGGTTTTTCAAGTGGAAATTTGTCATCGGGAGATAATTTATCATGTGTAGGTGAAATAGGTTTTTTAACTGGTAATTTGTCATCAGAAGTTAATTTTTCATGTGTGGGTGATTTTGGTTTTTTAAGTGGTAATTTGTCATTGGGAGTTATTTTTATTTCCTCTTTAAGATCACCTAATAAATCAAGTCTTTTTATGCCTTCAGAAGGTTTTTCATCAGAAGATAATTTATCAGGTTTAGGTGATTTTGGTTTGTCAACTGGTAATTTTTCATCAGAAGTTTTTGGTTTTTCAAGTGGTAATTTCTCATCGGGAGATGACGTATCTGGTGTGTGAGTTTTTGGTTTGTCAACCCGTAATTTGTCATAAGAAGATAATTTTTCATGTGTGGGTGATTTTGATTTTTCAAGTGGTAATTTGTCATCTTGTGTGGAAGTTTTTCGTTTGTGAACTGGTAATATGTCATCAGACGATAATTTATCATGTGTTGGTGATTTTGGTTTTTCAACTGGTAATTTGTCATCAGAAGATAATTTATCATGTGAAGGTGATATAGATTTTTCAAGTGGTAATTTGTCATCGGGAGATAATTTATCATGTGTATCTGATATTGGTTTTTCAAGTGGTAATATGTCATCGGGAGATATTTTTTCATGTGTTGGTGATTTTGGTTTTTCAAGTGATAATTTGTCATCGGGAGATAATTTATCATGTTTAGGTGATTTTGATGTGTCAACTGGTAATTTATCATCAGAAGTTAATTTGTCATCGAGAGATAATGTATCTTGTGTGGAAGTTTTTGATTTGTCAACTGGTAATTTATCTTTAGAAGTTAATTTGTCATCGGGAGATAATGTATCTTGTGTGGAAGTTTTTGGTTTGTGAACTGGTAATATGTCATCAAACGATAATTTATCATGTGTTGGTGATTTTGGTTTTTCAAGTGGTGATTTGTCAACGGGAGATAATTTATCTTGTGTGGGAGATTCCGATTTGTCAACTGGTAATTGGTCATCAGAAAGTATTTTTTCATGTGTAGTTGATTTTGGTTTTTCGACTGGTAGTTTGTCATTAGAAGATAATTTTTCCTGTGAAGGTGATTTTGATTTTTCAAGTGGTAATTTCTCATCGGAAGATAATGTATCTGGTGTGGGAGTTTTTGGTTTGTCAACTCGTAATTTGTCATAAGAAGATAATTTTTCATGTTTAGGTGATTTAGGTTTTTCAAGCGGTAATTTGTCATCAGAAGTCATTTTCATGTCCTCTTTAATATCACCTAATTTATTATCAAGTCTTTTTATGCCTTCAGAAAGTTTTTCATCAGAAGATAATTTTTCATGTGTAGGTGATTTTGATTTTACAACTGGTAATTCTTCATCAGAAGTAAATTTTTCATGTGAAGTTGATTTTGGTTTTTCAAGTGGTAATTTCTCATCGGGAGATAATGTATCTGGTGTGGGAGTTTTTGGTTTGTCAACCCGTAATTTGTCATAAAAAGATAATTTTTCATGTGTGGGTGATTTTGGTTTTTCAAGTGGTAATTTGTCATCTGTAGTGGAAATTTTTGGTTTTTCAACTGGTAATTGGTCATCAGGAGATAATTTTTCATATGTAGGTGATTTTGGTTTTTCAAATTTTAATTTGTCATCTTGTGTGGAAGTTTTTCGTTTGTGAACTGGTAATATGTCATCAGACGATAATTTATCATGTGTTGGTAACTGGTCATCAGAAGTTAATTTTTCATGTGTAGGTGATTTTAGTTTTTCAAGTGGTAATTTGTCATCAGAAGATAATTTATCATGTGTAGGTGATATTATTTTTTCAAGTGGTAATTTGTCATCGGGAGATAATTTATCATGTGTAGGTGATATTGTTTTTTCAAGTGGTAATTTGTCATCGGGAGATAATGTATCTTGTGTGGAAGTTTTTGGTTTGTAAACTGGTAATATGTTATCAGACGAAAATTTATCATGTGTTGGTGATTTTGGTTTGTCAACTGGTAATTTTTCATCAGAAGTTTTTGGTTTTTCAAGTGGTAATTTCTCATCGGGAGATGATGTATCTGGTGTGGGAGTTTTTGGTTTGTCAACCCGTAATTTGTCATAAGAAGATAATTTTTCATGTGTGTGTGATTTTGGTTTTTCAAGTGGTAATTTGTCATCAGAAGATAATTTATCATGTGAAGCTGATATAGATTTTTCAAGTGGTAATTTGTCATCGGGAGATAATGTATCTTGTGTGGGAGTTTCCGATTTGTCAACTGGTAATTGGTCATCAGAAAGTATTTTTTCATGTGTAGTTGATTTTGGTTTTTCGACTGGTAGTTTGTCATTAGAAGATAATTTTTCCTGTGAAGGTGATTTTGATTTTTCAAGTGGTAATTTCTCATCGGAAGATAATGTATCTGGTGTGGGAGTTTTTGGTTTGTCAACTCCTAATTTGTCATAAGAAGATAATTTTTCATGTTTCGGTGATTTAGGTTTTTCAAGCGGTAATTTGTCATCGGGAGATAATTTATCATGTATAGGTTTTTCAAGTGGTAATTTGTCATCGGGAGATAATTTATCATGTGTAAGTAATATTGTTTTTTCAAGTGGTAATTTGTCATCGGGAGATAATGTATCTTGTGTGGGAGTTTTTGATTTATCAACTGGTAATTGGTCATCAGAAGATAATTTATCATGTGAAGGTGAAATAGGTTTTTCATGTGGAAATTTGTCATCGGGAGATAATTTATCATGTGTAGGTGAAATAGGTTTTTCAACTGGTAATTTGTCATCAGAAGTTAATTTTTCATGCGTGGGTGATTTTGGTTTTTTAAGTGGTAATTTGTCATTGGGAGTTATTTTTATTTCCTCTTTAAGATCACCTAATAAATCAAGTCTTTTTATGCCTTCAGAAGGTTTTTCATCAGAAAATAATTTATCAGGTTTAGGTGATTTTGGTTTGTCAACTGGTAATTTTTCATCAGAAGTTTTTGGTTTTTCAAGTGGTAATTTCTCATCGGGAGATGATGTATCTGGTGTGGGGGTTTTTGGTTTGTCAACCCGTAATTTGTCATAAGAAGATAATTTTTCATGCGTGGGTGATTTTGGTTTTTCAAGTGGTAATTTGTCATCTGAAGATAATGTATCTTGAGTGGAAATTTTTGGTTTTTCAACTAGTAATTGGTCATCAGGAGATAATTTTTCATATGTAGGTGATTTTGGTTTTTCAAGTTTTAATTTGTCATCTTGTGTGGAAGTTTTTCGTTTGTGAACTGGTAATATGTCATCAGACGATAATTTATCATGTGTTTGTGATTTTGGTTTTTCAACTGGTAATTTGTCATCGGGAGATAATTTTTCATGTGTTGGTGATTTTGGTTTTTCAAGTGGTAATTTGTCATCGGGAGATAATTTATCATGTTTAGGTGATTTTGATGTGTCAACTGGTAATTTATCATCAGAAGTTAATTTGTCATCGGGAGATAATGTATCTTGTGTGGAAGTTTTTGATTTGTCAACTGGTAATTTATAATCAGAAGTTAATTTATCATCGGGAGATAATGTATCTTGTGTGGAAGTTTTTGGTTTGTGAACTGGTAATATGTCATCAGACGATAATTTATCATGTGTTGGTGATTTTGGTTTTTCAAGTGTTGATTTGTCAACGGAAGATAATGTATCTTGTGTGGGAGTTTCCGATTTGTCAACTGGTAATTGGTCATCAGAAAGTATTTTTTCATGTGTAGTTGATTTTGGTTTTTCAACTGGTTGTTTGTCATTAGAAGATAATTTTTCCTGTGAAGGTGATTTTGATTTTTCAAGTGGTAATTTCTCATCGGAAGATAATGTATCTGGTGTGGGAGTTTTTGGTTTGTCAACTCGTAATTTGTCATAAGAAGATAATTTTTCATGTTTAGGTGATTTAGGTTTTTCAAGCGGTAATTTGTCATCAAAAGGTTTTTTATCAGAAGATAATTTATCGGGTTTAGGTGATTTTGGTTTGTCAACTGGTAATTTTTCATCAGAAGTATATTTTTCATGTGAAGTCGATTTTGGTTTTTCAAGTGGTAATTTCTCATCGGGAGATAATGTATCTGGTGTGGGAGTTTTTGGTTTGTCAACCCGTAATTTGTCATAAGAAGATAATTTTTCATGTGTTGGTGATTTTGGTTTTTCAAGTGGTAATTTGTCATCTGGAGTGGAAATTTTTGGTTTTTCAACTGGTAATTGGTCATCAGGAGATAATTTTTCATATGTAGGTGATTTTGGTTTTTCAAATTTTAATTTCTCATCTTGTGTGGAAGTTTTTCGTTTGTGAACTGGTAATATGTCATCAGACGATAATTTATCATGTGTTGGTGATTTTGGGTTTTCAACTGGTAATTTGTCATCAGAAGATAATTTATCATGTATAGGTTTTTCAAGTGGTAATTTTTCATCGGAAGATAATTTATCATGTATAGGTTTTTCAAGTGGTAATTTGTTATCGGGAGATAATTTATCATGTGTAGGTGATATTGTTTTTTCAAGTGGTAATTTGTCATCGGGAGATAATGTATCTTGTGTGGGAGTTTTTGATTTGTCAACTGGTAATTGGTCATCAGAAGATAATTTATCATGTGAAGGTGAAATAGGTTTTTCAAGTGGAAATTTGTCATCGGAAGATAATTTATCATGTGTAGGTGATATAGGTTTTTCAACTGGTAATTCGTCATCAGAAGTTAATTTTTCATGTGTGGATGATTTTGGTTTTTTAAGTGGTAATTTGTCATTGGGAGTTATTTTTATTTCCTCTTTAAGATCACCTAATAAATGAAGTCTTTTTATGCCTTCAAAAGGTTTTTCATCAGAAGATAATTTATCAGGTTTAGGTGATTTTGGTTTGTCAACTGGTAATTTTTCATCAGAAGTTTTTGGTTTTTCAAGTGGTAATTTCTCATCGGGAGATGATGTATCTGGTGTGGGAGTTTTTGGTTTGTCAACCCGTAATTTGTCATAAAAAGATAATTTTTGATGTGTGGGTGATTTTGGTTTTTCAAGTGGTAATTTGTCATCTGGAGATAATGTATCTTGAGTGGAAATTTTTGGTTTTTCAACTAGTAATTGGTCATCAGGAGATAATTTTTCATATGTAGGTGATTTTGGTTTTTCAAGTTTTATTTTGTCATCTTGTGTGGAAGTTTTTCGTTTGTGAACTGGTAATATGTCATCAGACGATAATTTATCATGGGTTGGTGATTTTGTTATTTCAACTGTTAATTTGTCATCAGAAGATAATTTATCATGTGAAGGTGATATAGATTTTTCAAGTGGTAATTTGTCATCGGGAGATAATTTATCATGTGTAGCTGCTATTGGTTTTTCAAGTAGTAATTTGTCATCGGGAGATATTTTTTCATGTGTTGGTGATTTTGGTTTTTCAAGTGGTAATTTCTCATCGGGAGATAATTTATCATGTTTAGGTGATTTTGATGTGTCAACTGGTAATTTATCATCAGAAGTTAATTTGTCATCGGGAGATAATGTATCTTGTGTGGAAGTTTTTGATTTGTCAACTGGTAATTTATCATCAGAAGTTAATTTGTCATCGGGAGATAATGTATCTTGTATGGAAGTTTTTGGTTTGTGAACTGGTAATATGTCATCAGACGATAATTTATCATGTGTTGGTGATTTTGGTTTTTCAAGTGGTGATTTGTCAACAGGAGATAATGTATCTTGTGTGGGAGTTTCCGATTTGTCAACTGGTAATTGGTCATCAGAAGGTATTTTTTCATGTGTAGTTGATTTTGGTTTTTCAACTGGTAGTTTGTCATTAGAAGATAATTTTTCCTGTAAAGGTGATTTTGATTTTTCAAGTGGTAATTTCTCATCGGAAGATAATGTATCTGGTGTGGGAATTTTTGGTTTGTCAACTCGTAATTTGTCATAAGAAGATAATTTTTCATGTTTAGGTGATTTAGGTTTTTCAAGCGGTAATTTGTCATCAGAAGTCATTTTCATGTCCTCTTTAATATCACCTAATTTATTATCAAGTCTTTTTATGCCTTCAGAAGGTTTTTCATCAGAAGATAATTTATCATGTGTAGGTGAAATTGGTTTTTCAGGTGGTAATTTGTCATCAAAAGTTAGTTTTTCATGTGTAGGTGATTTTGATTTTACAACTGCTAATTTGTCATTAAAAGATAATTTATTATGTACAGGTGATGTTGGTTTTTCAAGTGGTAATTTGACATCGGGAGTCATTTTTATTTCCTCTTTAAGATCACCTAATAAATCAAGTCTTTTTATGCCTTCAGAAGGTTTTTTATCAGAAGATAATTTATCATGTGAAGTTGATTTTGGTTTTTCAAGTGGTAATTTCTCATCGGGAGATAATGTATCTGGTGTGGGAGGTGTTGGTTTGTCAACCCGCAATTTGTCATAAGAAGATAATTTTTCATGTGTGGGTGATTTTGGTTTTTCAAGTGGTAATTTGTCATCTGGAGTGGAAATTTTTGGGTTTTTAACTGGTAATTGGTCATCAGGAGATAATTTTTCATATGTAGGTGATTTTGGTTTTTCAAATTTTAATTTGTCATCCTGTGTGGAAGTTTTTCGTTTGTGAACTGGTAATATGTCATCAGACGATAATTTATCATGTGTTGGTGATTTTGGTTTTTCAACTGGTAATTTGTCATCAGAAGATAATTTATCATGTGAAGTTGATATAGATTTTTCAAGTGATAATTTCTCATCGGGAGATAATGCATCCTGTGTGGAAGTTTTTGGTTTGTGAACTGGTAATATGTCATCAGACGATAATTTATCATGTGTTGGTAACTGCTCATCAGAAGTTAATTTTTCATGTGTAGGTGATTTTAGTTTTTCAAGTGGTAATTTGTCATCAGAAGATAATTTATCATGTATAGGTGATATAGGGTTTTCAAGTGGTAATTTGTCATCGGGAGATAATGTATCTTGTGTGGCAGTTTTTGATTTGTCAACTGGTAATTTATCATTAGAAGTTAATTTGTCATCGGGAGATAATGTATCTTGTGTGGAAGTTTTTGATTTGTCAACTGGTAATTTATCATCAGAAGTTAATTTTTCATCGGGAGATAATGTATCTTGTGTGGAAGTTTTTGGTTTGTGAACTGGTAATATGTCACCAGACGATAATATATCATGTGTTGGTGATTTTGGTTTTTCAAGTGGTGATTTGTCAACGGGAGATAATGTATCTTGTGTGGGAGTTTCCGATTTGTCAACTGGTAATTGGTTATCAGAAGATATTTTTTCATGTGTTGTTGATTTTGGTTTTTTAGGTGATAATTTTTCATCAGGAGTTATTTTTATGTTCTTTTTAAGATCAATTAATATATCATCAATTCTTTTTATGCCTTCAGAAGGTTTTTTATTAGAATATAATTTTTCATGTGTAGGTGATTTTTGTTCTTCAAGTTGTAATTTGTCATCATAATTCGTATCTTGTGTGAAAGTTTTGGATTTGTCAACTGGTAATTGGTCATCAGAAGATATTTTTTCATATGTTGGTGATTTTGGTTTTTCAAGTGGTAATTTGTCATTAGGAGTCATTTTTATGTCCTCTTTAAGATCACCTAATATATCATCAAGTCTTTTTATGCCTTCAGAAAGTTTTTCATCAGAAGATAATTTATCAAGTGGTAATTTGTCATCGGGAGATAATTTATCATTGGTAGATAGTATATCTTGTGTGAAAGTTTTTGGTTTGTGAACTGGTAATATGTCATTAGACGATAATTTATCATGTGTTCGTGATTTTGGTTTTTCAACTGGTAATTTGTCATCAGAGGATAATTTATCATGTGTAGGTGATAAAGGTTTTTCAACTGGTAATTTGTCATCCGGAGATAATTTATCATGTGTACGTGATATTGGTTTTTCAAGTGGTAATTTGTCATTAGGAGTCATTTTTATGTCCTCTTCAAGATCACCTAATATATCTTCATGCCTTTTTAGGCCATCAGAAGGATTTTCATCAAAAGATAATTTATCATGTGTAGGTGATATTGGTTTTTCAAGTGGTAATTTGTCATCGGAAGATAATGTATCTTGTGTGGGAGTTTTTGATTTGTCAATTCGTAATTTGTCATCAGAAGATAATTTATCAGGTTTAGGTGATTTTGATTTTTCAACTGGTAATTTTTCATCAGAAGTTAATTTTTCATGTGTAGTTGGTTTTGGTTTTTCAACTGGTAATTTGTCATTGGGAGATAATGTATCTGGGGTGGAAGTTTTCGGTTTTTCAACTGGTAATTTGTCATCAGAAGATAATTTATCATGTGGAGGTGAAATAGGTTTTTCAAGAGGAAATTTGTCATCGGGAGATAATTTATCATGTGTAGGTAATATAGGTTTATCAACTGGTAATTTGTCATCAGAAGTTAATTTTTCATGTGTGGGTGATTTTGGTTTTTTAAGTGGTAATTTGTCATAAGGAGTCATTTTTATTTCCTCTTTAAGATCACCTAATAAATCAAGTCTTTTTATACTTTCAGGTTTTTCATCAGAAGATAATTTATCAGGTTTAGGTGATTTTGGTTTGTCAACTGGTAATTTTTCATCAGAAGTAAATTTTTCATGTGTAGTTGATTTTGGTTTTTCAAGTGGTAATTTCTTATCGGGAGATAATGTATCTGGTGTGGAAGTTTTTGGTATGTCAACCCGTAATTTGTCGTAAGAACATAATTTTTCATGTGTGGGTGATTTTGGTTTTTCAAGTGGTAATTTTTCATCTGGAGATAATGTATCTTGAGTGGAAATTTTTGGTTTTTCAACTGGTAATTGGTCATCAGGAGATAATTTTTCATGTGTAGGTGATTTTGGTTTTCCAAGTTTTAATTTGTCATCTTGTGTGGAAGTTTTTCGTTTGTGAACTGGTAATTTGTCATCAGAAGATAATTTATCATGTGAAGGTGATATAGGTTTTTCAAGTGGTAATTTTTTATCGGGAGATAATTTATCATGTGTAGGTGATATTGGTTTTTCAAGTGGTAATTTGTCATCGGGAGATATTTTTTCATGTGTTGGTGATTTTGGTTTTTCAAGTGGTAATTTGTCATCGGGAGGTAATTTATTATGTTTAGGTGATTTTGATGTATCAACTGGTAATTTATCATCAGAAATTAATTTGTCATCGGGAGATAATTTATCTTGTGTTGAAGTTTTTGATTTGTTAACTGGTAATTTATCATCAGAAGTTAATTTGTCATCGGGAGATAATGTATCTTGTGTGGAAGTTTTTGGTTTGTGAACTGGTAATATGTCATCAGATGATGATTTATCATGTGTTGGTGATTTTGGTTTTTTAAGTGGTGATTTGTCAACGGGAGATAATGTATCTTGTGTGGGAGTTTCCGATTTGTCAACTGGTAATTGGTCATCAGAAGGTATTTTTTCATGTGTAGTTGATTTTTGTTTTTCAACTGGTAGTTTGTCATTAGATAATTTTTCCTGTGAAGGTGATTTTGATTTTTTAATAGGTAATTTCTCATCGGAAGATAATGTATTTGGTGTGGGAGTTTTTGGTTTGTCAACTCGTAATTTGTCATAAGAAGATAATTTTTTATGTTTAGGTGATTTAGGTTTTTTAAGTGGTAATTTGTCATCAAAAGTCATTTGCATGTCCTCTTTAAGATCACCTAATTTATTATCAAGTCTGTTTATGCCTTCAAAAGGTTTTTCATCAGAAGATAATTTATCATGTGTAGGTGAAATTGGTTTTTCAGGTGGTAATTTGTCATCAAAAGTTAATTTTTCATGTGTGGGTGATTTTGATTTTACAACTGGTAATTTGTCATCAAAAGATAATTTATTATGTATAGGTGATTTTGGTTTTTCAAGTGGTAATTTGTCATCGGGAGATAATGTGTCTTGTGTAGGTGATTTTGTTTTTTTAAGTGGTAATTTGTCATCGGGAGATAATGTATCTTGTGTGGGAATTTTTGGTTTTTCAACTGGTAATTGGTCATCAGGAGATAATTTTTCATGTGTAGGTGATTTTGGTTTTTTAAGTTGTAATTTGTCATCGGGAGATAATGTATCTTGTGTGGAAGTTTTGGATTTGTCAACTGGTAATTGATCATCAGAAGATATTTTTTCATGTGTTGGTGATTTTGGTTTTTCAAGTGGTAATTTGTCATTAGGAGTCATTTCTATGTCCTGTTTAAGATCACCTAATATATCATCAAGTATTTTTATGCCTTCAGAAAGTTTTTCATCAGAAGATAATTTATCATGTGTAGGTGATTTTGGTTTTTTAAGTTGTAATTTGTCATCGGGAGATAATGTATCTTGTCTGGGTGTTTTTGGTTTGTTAACTGGTAATTTATCATTAGGAGACATTTTCTTGTCCTTTTTAAGATCAACCAATTTATCGTCAATGCTTTGTATGCCTTCAAAAGATTTGTCAGCAGAAAATAATGTATTATGTGCAAGTGATTTTGGTTTTACAAGTGGTAATTTGTTATCGAGAGTTAATGTATCTTGTGTGGGTGTGACTGGTTTGTGAACTGGTATGTTTTCATTAGGATCAAATAATTTATCTTCAAGACTTTTTATGCCTTCAGAAGGTTTTTCAATGGGACATAAAGTATCTTGTGTAGGCCTTTTTTGATTTTTAACTGGAAATTTGTCATCAGAATAAAATTTATCAAGTGTGAGTGTTTTTGGTTTATCAACTGGTAATTTTTCGTGATCAATTACTTTATGATCTAAGCTTCTTAATGATTTTATTTCTCTTAAAGGTTTTTTAGTAATTGATGATTCATGGGTAAGTGTTTTTAATTTTTGAAGGGTGGGTATTTCTTGTGTTTTAGATAGAAATTTTTCATCAAAATTAATAACTTTTTCATGGGTTAAATTTTGTGTTTTTGAAATTTCAACATGTATTATATTGTTTTTATTGATCTGCTTAGTTTCTATTATATTAGACATTTCTTTTGTCCTTGAATATTCTTGTTTTGCATTTGTTTCTTCTATATTTTTATTTAACTGTTGTTGTTTTGCTGAACTGGAAGGAAGCATTGTTATGAGTTGCCCTTCGGGTGTTGGTGTCAAGTCGGGTTTAAGTTCTTTTACATCTTCTCTTATTTGTTTTGATATTTCTAACATTTCTGTCATAATTTTTTTAACATCTACTTCTGTTAATTGAATAGTATCTCCCTCTATATTTTTTAGGTCTAAACTATTTTGAAGAGCAACATTGCTTTCTTGTTGATGTAAATTTACATTTTCACTTACTAAAATACTTTGTTGTTTTTTAGATTCACGGTTTTTCGGTGTTGTTAAAAGAGATTGATCGTGCAAATTTGTCTCTTTGATAACTTCACTTTTAAAACTTTGATGCTTTGTTTTTATTAAAATATTATTATCATATTGTGTATCATCCTGTGGTGACAGTAAACCTAATGTAACTTTTATGCAAGACGCTTCAGATATTGGTTTTGGGCCTCTTATTTTTTCAATTAGGTTACATTTATCTAAAATTATATTTGATAATTCTTCTGAAAGATCAGTTGTAGATTTTTCTAAATTTTGTTTGTCATCTGGTATTCTAGGTTTTATCATAACCTTTTGACATACTGGTTCATTGCAAGGTTGTCCTGATGGAGTTTGTAATAAGTCTTTCATAAACTTTGTAATATGTCGTAAGGACTTTTCTTTTTCTGAACTTTTTTCTTCTTCTTTTATTTGCTGTTCAATAGATTTTAAGCATGTGGCAAGTTCTTCTTCAGTTAAGTTTTTGTCTTTCTTAATCTCGTGTTTTTGTTTTTTAGTTGGGGTGCTTTCCAAGGATTTTGAAATTAAATTTTCATACATAAGTTTTCTATCGTGTACAGATTTTGACATTTCGTCTTCATCTTTAACGGTTTCTTCTTTGGGCATATTTGATTTAAAAGGTTGAGGCGTTAATGAAGTACTTTGTATTTCATCATTTTTAAGTTTATTGGTTGGTGTTTTATGTGTTTCAGTCTCGGCAGAAAATAGTTTTTGCAAAGCTGAAATTTTTCTACCCACTTGTTTAGTGGGTAAAAATGCTAATTGTTTTTTTGATAAATCCATAGTAATTGCTTCTGAGTTTACATCAACTATTTCAGTTTTAAACTCATCATCATCCAATTGTGCCAATGTTTCTGTTGAACACCTTATTAGTTCTTCGTCTTTCATACTAGAAATATCATCTTCAGAATCCAAATATTCTCGTTTTTTTCTTAAGAGAGGAGAAGACAATTTGGATTGATCCTCTAAAAATTTAATTTTTGCCTTTACCTCACCGGAAGCTCTTCTAGAAACCAATATATCTTTTTCCTCTTTTAGTTTGTCAGCCGATAAATACAAACTTTCTTCTGGTTTAATAGGACTTAAGGAAGCGTCTTTGGTTTCTATGTTATCTGTAAGTGTTCCAGCTTCTGATGTATCAATCTGTGAAATTGCAATGGAAGTGGATTCTGGAAACTCTATAGGACTTGTTCCAGTGTCTGTTAGATGAGTTAGTTCTTCTTCCAAATCATGTGATATAATGTCATCAGCTTGTATTGGACTTAACCCTGCATCAGTACATTCATATTCTTCAATATCACCATCTGATGCAAATCCAGTAGTAGGTAAATTTATCGTCATGCCAGGTGGTTGTTTAACAGGACTAGTTAATGTATCCGAAGTACGCCTCGTTAAAGATATACCAGTATCTGTAATATGATGCGACATACTTTCATCAGTTACTGGTGAAAAAATCTGAGAATCTGAAATATCTTTAGAACTATCATATGTATACACTTGCTTAGTGCCACTAAAATTAACGGTTTCCTCGCGTTTTTTAGGTGTTACTTCTCTTTCCTCGTGTTTTACTGGAGGTATTATATAAGCATACTGTTTATTAACATAGGTGCTATCATCAGGCGTTTCAGGCTCTTTATTACCTGCATTGGTAGACATACCAACATCAAATTTTTCGGAAGTTTCCATTCCAGAATTATCACGTCTTTTCGTAGTTACCGATATATGTGACTGTGATTTAATTGAAATTTCTACGTCCTTGGTTCCATATAACGTTAAACGACTTTCTGCAGTGGCTAGCGCCTCTTTAGTACGTACTTCCTTACGTCCAATAATAAGTTCAAGGGTGGGTTTATCTGAATCAGTAGTATGTTGTTCTGTTTTAGGCGAAATATTATTTTGTGATTTGGCTAATGGAGAAGTACTTCGCGTTACTTGCTTTATGTTTCCATCAATGTTAGTTTGGTCCAATTGTTCGGTAGTGTCTGTTTCTTTTTCGGATGAAAGTTGTGTTTTTGAAGTTTTTTCATTTTTAACAATGTCTTCACTATTTGAAATAGACTTTTTAAATATTTGTATTTCTGTATCCTTCGAGGAATTACCTTCTGTATTTATTCCACTATAGGTTAGGGATATTTGTCTATCAGATTTTGATTTTAGGTAATTTTTTTCTTCTGTTGGTGGAACTTTATCTTTACCTGCACCACCGTGTAATCTCTCCACAGTCTTTTTCTCTTTTCTTTCCCAATCCTCTGGTTTTTTAGAGTCTTTTGAGCCTTTCTCTTCTGGTGATAAATAATGATGAATCGATAACTTTTCAGGTTTCAATATTTCTAATGTAATTTTAGAATCTTTTGTATATTTATAACTAGTGGAAGGCAAATTAATATCTTCATTTGCTACATCAGTATCTAAATCTTCAATAGATGCTAAACGTTTGCGTTGGCCAGTCAATAACATGACCTGATGCTTGTAGTATTTAGAAACATCCTCATATGGAGTGACTTCTTGAAAGTCTATATTATGAAAATTAGAATAGTCTCCTATGTAACTTGACTTTACTAACTGGGAGGCTTCCTCGCCCGGAGTGGGAGTCTCTAGAAGATATTGGTCTTCGCGGAAACCATCAGTATCCAAAGAGTCGTCATCATCCTGAGGAGATGCGCTTGCTGCTGTCGCAAGGAAAAAAAATAAAGGGTGGACTAGGAAATATAGATAAGTACCTATACATAATGTAATGATTTAAAAAATTGACAAACCAGGATTTATTGTGCAACTTTAGACCGATCTTTTTCATTTATTTTCAGAAAATAAATCATTAGAGGCGTAAAATGCCCCACTCAAACTTCGCACATACATAATGAAATGTCTATGACTGTGGGTACTGTGTACAATGTGGAGAGGAGAGGTGTGAAGGAGAACGACAGCTATCTTTATATAAAGCCGGCTATGGCATTCTGCGTCATTATAAGCTTCTACAAAAATTGTCTAGCATGATTCCGAAAGCAATTTCGCCAACGGTTTTAGTTTTTACGTTGCCTAAACTAGTTATATTATAATATCAAGGTTTAATTCTACTGGAAACAAATTAAAAGTGAAATGACATCTTTATAGTTTTTGTTTAACATACTTTATTTCATTTCCGTAATTTAATTGATTTCCAGAAAAAAGCTTCTATTTCACTGACCTTTGTATAGCCTTTGCTACACGAAGCCCGGGGCCGCGTTTTGACCCACTGAAAACTTACCCAACCCCAATTCAATCTTGATATAAAATATATTTTTATTTTATTTAAGACAAAAAACATTGTTATTTATATTTTATTCAAGAATAACTGAGGCCAAAAAATGTGTTCATGCACACACAATATTTATACAGTTTTAACTTATATATTTTCTGGTAAAATGGAGTTTGCAAAACGGTTTTTAAGCATTTTTCAGCATAAAGTGAACGTCTTGGGAATGGGAATATTAACCACCAATTTAAAATAGTAATGTATTTTAAATTAATGTTTGGATTTTGTGTATGAAATGGATAAGGCACGGATGTGTTTATAATACTGAACAAATTTTTGTAAATATTTACAAACATTATATTAATACATACCTAATTCTAATTAGTTTTTATACCGTATTTTCACCAAAAAATTAAACAGTGCCGAATGCATCCGAACGTATTAAATGATATTTTGCAGCGGCTTTAGACATCATTTAATCATTAAATTATTAACTTGGTCTAATGTGTAAAACCATTATTGGTTTTGCATTTAACTTAAAGGTGTTCTTATACAAAAAAATAAATTACATAAAGTACAAAAATTAATAAAAATTATGTTTAAATTAATTTTAAAGACAATTAATTCATGTTTAAACTTTTCTATAAAAAACACCTTTTAGTTAAATCCAAAACAAATACCTAATTATTTTACACATTAGACCAAATTAATCATTTACAGTTAAAAGTGACTAGGTTACATTTTAAGTATCCAAATAATTTTTCAAATTAAATTAATCTAGTAATAACCCGATGCGTTTTAAAATTAATATAGAAATTTAACTATCACCCAGCGCGCTGCAGCGCCAGTAAGTCGACGACTAAAATCTTTAGTGATGGGAAAACTTTAAGTAACCTCTGATAGTTATCAGTAAGGACAAATATCAGAAAGGTGTTGGTGTTACTAATATTGATATTTCTAGATAATACACATACTTACATATTATATATATTTCTATAGCGTTTAAAACCAAACTTTATCAAGAAAGTCGTTTTTGATATATCAAAAAACTAAGTTAATCTTGTGTACCATTGGAAAGATCAGAGAAAATTAAGCAAAAAACGTGTAGGTAATGTTATTTTAAGAAAGTGGACTTAATATAGTTTGGATCTACAGAATTAAGACGCTTCTTACAAAAACAGCCATAGTATAAATTGTTATTTACATACACTTATATTTTAAATTAATATTTTAAGGCAGTCAAAAGTACAAACAGCACAAGTCTCTCTTTATAAGTTTGATTATTGTTTTAAATAAAAAATAATAAGACATTTTTGGACTATCTGTATTTGTGTGAAGCGCCTTAATTATTTGTAGTTGTTATGTTATACTTTCCAAATTTTTATTAATAGTTATTTATGTCATTAGGTCAAGAAGTGAGTCTTTTTATGCTGAGCTCCAAGGTGAAAAGCCGACGCATAGCGAAACATACAATTGAGCGAAGCACAAAAAGACACTTGTGCATACAACATTATATCTTCAAGGCTCAATTTTAATTGTAAAAATAATTATTAAAAATAAAAAGATGTTACGGCCTGAACCATGATTAACCTAACTCGCTTATTTTTAAGTGCCTAGGGCACATTTAATTTCATTTATTTTGGTCATTCAAGCTATATACATAGATATGACAGGTCAACAACAATAAGGTTTAAATTGTATGAAGATAAATAACTACTATAATTATTTAAATCACTTTTTGAATATCCCGCTAAGGGCGAAAGCTATTGATGTTTACTGAAAGTTATAAGTAATATATCCCAAATTACTGATAGTTTTCAGTACCTATTTTTACCGATAGTTCCCACCTCTACTTCAAAGACAAGGTTGTCACCGTGTCGAATTATCCCCCCCTCTTAAAAACCGAATGCTGCTATGATGCGTCAACTGTTTACACAAAAAATAAAAATACGGTATTTGTTCAGTATACTTTAAATTATTTCACACACATCACACAAAACCAAAAAAATAATAATAAGAAATGTGTAAAGCCATGCTTAATATTGGATAAAAGGCCAACATATCAGGTTAAATATAATTAATTTAAAATAAACTATATTTTTGAGTTGGTATGTTTAAGATTTTTTTGTCTTATAACTGCAGCATACAACAAAATAATGAACCTGACATATTATTAGAATGATATTGAAAAAGCTGCAATATACATCAAGCTAAAATTGTATGACACCTAAAAGCTAAAAAAGCAATAAATAAAGTAGCCCGCATATATGATTTATTTTCTGTTATTGTAGGGCTCATGTTTTAATTTAAAGTTTAATTTTTTATAAATATTTATTTTTTTAGATTAGTTGGCAAAAAAGCTTGTTGCAAGAAAGCATGTTGCACATTTAGTGTATGTTTGTAATTGTTTATAAATTATTAATCATAATGTTAAAATAGTATACAAAATGACAGACTTTTATACATGACACATTATAAATATTAACAGCAGAAGTTGCCATTTTGTCATTGGGAAATATCAAGGGGTAGGAATAAATACATATTAATATCGCTACTTAACGTTCGTTTCGAGAAAACGAATGTTATTAGGTACTACGTTATCTAAATAGGTAATAAATACCGAATGCAAACTCCATTACATGTGGCATATCTTCAACTTTGGATACATGGTACATAATACATTTAAAAAATAATCTTAGAAGATTGCATAAACTAATTTGGTTATGGATATTTTGTTTCGCCTTTTACTCAAATTATATGTACGTATACGTATGAAATAGTTTAGAGTAAAGCTTCTTAAAGGTCGTTTAAAAAGTTCTTAGCCTGAAGTTGCTTGTATAACCATAATGCACCTACTTCCACACATATAAAAATATTTTCTGTCTGAGACCGTTTTCTTTTCGTGGCGGCTGGTGGATTTTGCATATGCCATATCTCAGTTATTAGACATGGGACCCACATCAAATTTATATGAGTTTATAACGACACTAAATTAAGAAGTTCAGCGCAAACAGAAATTAAATAGAAGTTCGAAGTTCGAAAAGATAGTTTTTGCTACAGCTTCCACAAATTTAAAATAGTATAAACTCTGTAATATTTGGATTTTTTAAATAAATTTTGAAATTTGTCAATAAACTATGGTAAATTATAAATTGCACCACTAAAATTTGTATTATCTTTATTAGGGGGCCAGGCTGCAGAGGAGCTGCAGCAAAAACTATATATTTTTGCAAACTTCTATTTAAATTCTGCTTGAGCAAAACTTTTAAATTTAGTGTCATTATAAACTCATATAAATTTGGTGTAGGTTCCATGTCTAATAACTGAGATATGGCATATGCAAAATCCACCAGCCGTGAAAGTAGGGGAAGTGAAAAAAGTATGATTAAATTGAGGCGCATGCGTTGAGGCATTGCCTGTTTTAAAAATACCATAGTTTCGTCCATACTTGGGAAATATAATAAATAAATTTGAATAAATTGTATATACATTTTATAAAAAATCAATAAATAATATTAAATACAAAAAATAATAATATTTTAGATTTTATAGTGGCATGTTTTTTAACAGCAAGAATTTGGCAACGTCGTATTTCGACAATTATAGCCAAAAGATTTTTAATAGACATGTTATTTTATATACCAATTGTTTTTGCATTGTTTTTTTTTTCATTTTGTTTAGGATATTTTTAGTGGCTTTTACTAATATGCATATTAAGCCACTTTTTGCTTTTTATAATGCCAAAGCAAAGAAATTTTACGCAAGATTAACCAAGGCGATGCATCATGCATACATGTAAGCAAATGATTTAGAAAAATTCGATATAGGTAAGCCAAATTTAATTTAGTTGACAATTCGTATGATACAAGGACGTATTAATATGTCTAGGGTATTATATATTTTAAATCCCCCACTTAAAAACTAAATATGCGCATATCCTAGTCTAAATCGAAAAATTCCCCATAATGCACATACTTCCACACATATACATACTGCTTATTTGCTATATTTTGTATGGATGACCTTGTTTTCTTTTTTAAGGGGTCATTTGTCGATTTAGAGTCTGATCTACCTTATGCGCATCAAAGTCAGTTCAAAAGTGGGGATTTAAAATACATGATAGGTATGAATTGTCAACTAAATTAAATTTAGGTATTATCAAATTTTAAAAAAAAATTATCTAATTTTTGTAAACCATTTGCCTACATCTCGGATTAATTTATCTCAATTAACGCATAGGTTATTTAAAGTTTGTTCTTTGTTTTGGCTATTGTTACTGTCGAAATAAAATACGACGTTGCCAAATTCTTACTGTTATAAACGTGCAATTGTAAAATCTTAAAATATCATTATTTTGTGTAGGTATTTAATATTTTTAAATGCTTTCTCATAAAATTAATTTAAATGATTTTTTTCCCAAATAAGGACAAACATATGATATTAATTTTAATACCGGCAATGCCGCCCACGCACTTCCCCTAATTTTACCCTACGAAACGGAAACAGTCTCTTTCCTAAATGATTTGTGTATGTGTAGAAGTATGTGCCATACTGCTTTTATATCATTAAAGTAAAAACCTTTAGGTGGCGCTGTGAAAAGATTTAGACTTGTGCTTTTCGGAATTTACGAATCGTAAATTTATCCCATCAGTAAGGTTAAGTGAACGATTTTTATGTTTTTCATAAAATCGATTAAAACGCAAATTATTAACTATAGTTAAAAAGTTTTGTTTTAATAATATAATGGTCAACCAAGCGACATATATGATTCAGGTCGTGAACTTTTCGCATTATCCTGGTACAGTGTGTCCTACATATTTAGAAAACTATTTCGCATTTGGACCCTTGTGCATTCTACTGCGCCTTGTATTAAAAGAAAGTAAAATCCGTAACCATTTTAATATATTGATCTAGAGAGTTTGAGATTGTTAAGATTTTATAGGATATGTTTACAATAAATTACAAAATTATCAAGCCACTTTTTACACTCATGATATATACTTACTTAAATATGATTTTAAACATTGTCTACATGTTTATATATAAATTTTAAAGGCAAATAAACCTACAGAAAAACATTCCAATATAACCAAAACAATCAACTGGCAACAAATTCTTTAAGGTCAAATTACACTACGATACGTTCAAAGGTGTGTTTTTTTTTTAATTTTTAATTTATTAAGTATAATGATTTACGTTTATTTTCCAGCACAAGTTATATGGACCGAATATTTTTGGCCGCGTCCGGCCCGGAACAGGTATGAGATTTGGTAGACCGGGAATTTCCGCCTGGCCAAATGTTTACTCAGCCATATTGGCTGTGTATAGTTGGCCACGACCGCCTGGCCATCCAAAAAAAGCCTACAGACGTCCTGGATAGGTATATCCTATAGGTTTAGTCCTGAAATCCTCTGAATGGCAAGATACTTTTTTAACACAGTTGACTAGCTAGCCATTATTCGTTACTGAGCAGATCCCCACTTTAAACGATCAATATCCAGCTATGCCATAAATATTGCAACACATCGCTATTTATACTATAAATAGCGATGGGTTTTAATATTTGGTTAAATGTATGCGTATAAATTTTATAATTAGCTCGCGTCCGTAAGCAGCCGTGATAGGTATCGCGATCCGTAAGTGGGCTTGCTGTGGCAACCGAACGATTATGCTGCGGCATGCCGTATTCTGGCCAACTTCGGTTAGAAAATGGCCAAACGGTTCCGAGGTAACATTACGCGGGCCATAAGCGGCCGACTGGGGACAAACCGAAAAGCCGGTTAACCGCCTTTACAAAGCGGTGGCCAAAGTTTGCCGGTGCTTACTGGAGTCGGACCTCTCACTTGCGCAATATAGTTTTCTAAATATGTGGGGTGTCCCAAAATGAGTAAGCAATCTCTCTGATTTATATAGAATACATTAATAAAACCCTATAGATTACTAATGAACTCCACTGAAAATCGTTTTTTCTTAAATAAAATATTGTACATAAAACATATTAAAATATTTTTTAAATATGATGGAACAGGGACAGATTATAACTGCAAAAAGGTTAAAAGTGTATGATGTTTTCACCGTCCATAGAAAAAATATTAAATTATCTAAAAGTTATTTTAGAAAAAACTATTTTCAAAAGCCTTTTAGGCACTTGTTCGTTTATAAAAAAGTATTTTCTCAAAAATACGTATGCAATTTTCCTTGAATATAATTAAACTATTTTTTTAAAAGCTTATTACTTACCTTAACTAGTAATAACAAGTGTGAAAATGTAACCGACTCGGATGATAAAAACAAAAAAATCGACGTTACCGAAGAAAGAAACACTGAAAACTGTTTTGTTTTGCGTTTGAATTACGGTAACTGGATCTAATCGTCTTAAGAGGCCATATGATATTCGCGGTATTAGCCCAAGTAAAAATAAACCGTATTATACAGGTTTTTATATTGAAATAATGTTATCATTAAGAAATCAATATGCATAAGAATCTATATTAATTTAATTTTTAAAAGCCTTTTATAAGGTCATCGCACACATTTATTAGTTATCGTTTATTATTGTTTACTTTGCGACCTATTGTCTTTAAAATACATTTATTTGAAAGTTTTCACCATTAATGATATACTTATTTTGCCGTAAAATTATAAAAATAATTAAGTAAATAATATATCATGTACCATTTCCAGTTAACTAATTTATACCTTTGAAATATAACAGACAAGATTAGTAACTTAAAGGTTTTCACATTGACCTAGATCTTACATAATTAAGTAAAAATATTCCAACAGATATGCCACATTCTTGTATGAACTTCTTATAAGGGTATGTTAAAAAACGATTTAGTTATAAGTAATTCATACAATTAATTTGTACTAATAAAGCATCGCTTTACATACATTTAGCAAGGTGTAAAATAATATTTTGGTCTTACCTTGAACTGTGGTTGCCTGTGATTGAAGTAAAAAGTCTGCAGGACTCGGAGGTGGTGTCTTCGAAAGGTGGGGAGATTTGGGATCTAAAATATAATTAAGTGTCAAAGAAAATTGCTCAGTTTTTTATTAAAATAGTAATTGTAACCTTCATCAGCCAATAATTTAGGCATAGGCTTCTTGCCATCAAATCTCATAGTGACTCCCTCCAAAAGTTCAGAGTCTTCAGCTGTTTTGTGCGTGTATTCCTCTGTTCGGGTTGTGCGTGTTTCGGTTATAGTCGTGGTAATTGTTTTTAAATCTTGCGCGGTCGACCCGTCGATCGTTTCCGAGACTATCGACTGAGATGGTATTGTGGTTTTTGTAATAGTTTCGGTAGTCTTCGAAACGACTCCTTCGGGCGACATTTCTGTGTTGATGGTTGGTTGTGGTTTTACCGCCTCCGTACTTTTTTGCACCTCGGCGATTTTGTCTTCTACGAGACTTTGTCGTTTTATAGAACAAATTTCCTGGACAATTTCAACGCGCTGTGAAGATGCCGGAATTGTTCTTTCGGACGACAGTCGTTCTTCAATTTGCTGTCGCCGTTCGGTGACTGTTTTGTTGAAGTCTTCTTCTTCGTCTGATACTGATACAGCTTTTTCTTCTGCAGAGTATTTGTCATGAACTTTGTCTACAATTTGTTTATACGTTATAAAAATTTAATACAAACATACATACTAGTCTAAGAGCTGGCTACATAAAACAAGGTTTAAGGTACAAGAAATATTTATAGTGTGTTGGAACGCCATACTTCAAACGAGAAAAATGCAACCAAGAATACATCTGCACTTAAAGAAACCTACCTATTCGTTAAATATATATTTAATCAATGTAGCCAAGTTTAAAATGATACAGTGTTGGCCTTTATTAAAATCTTTATTTTAATTATATTCTAGTCAATTTTAGTTACTTTGGTTTTACGGTAGCGGGTGCACCTTGGATAGTTATTTGGTCCCACCTCTAAACATCGCGTCTTTTTCAGTCTGGAGGAAAAGGCGTGAAACTTAAATTTAAGATTGTGTAGTTTTTAAGACTTGATTTAAATTATTCTTATTATTATTTATTTGTTCGATGTGATGAGTGGTTTTGTTTTCTTGCTGGAAATAATCATTTTATATATAAATGGTTATAACCTGTTTGGGGATTGTTGAGAGGGGTAAATTGTACTTGTTTATAAAGCTGTCTTATTTAAGCTGTAACTGTAGTTATAAACCCTGCTTAGAGAAAGTTAACGCTAGAGAAACTTAAGCAAAACAAATTGTAAATATAACGGTTGCAACCAGGTTTCTTATTTTATTTTTAAATATAATTCCTCCTCTCATTGGAACTATACTGTACCTATCTAGAACCGAACTTAAATTACACAACGTACCCTATCATTTTCGATTCACTAGACGATCACCTCTTTTTCCAAATTTGACAACACTGCTTGCGCTGTCAAGATATGAATTAAGTTCGCGCGATTCTTCAAATCGCCATGGGTTACTGCAATTTCCATAAGTGTGGGATATCCAATAGTAATAATAATAATAATTCCTATTTGTTGAATATATGAGGAGCGTTTATTCAAAAAGGGACATGTCCATTTTAGCGATTTGCAGAAATAAGTCAAAAGCAAAAGAATTCTGTTATTTTTGACTTGTTTCTGCAAATCGCTAAAATGGACATGTCCCTTTTTGAATAAACGCTCCTCATATAAAAAGAAGTGAGTTAGAACCAGTGCCGGACTAAGCCGTCGTGGGCCCGGGACGGCAAAATAAAATTGGGCCCTTGAGTATGCTTGGACTCAGTTTCTCTTTAAAAAGAGATTTAAAAAAAGATTTTTTATAAAAAAAGTGTTTTGTTTCGGGCCTGGGTCATACAAATTTGGCTATAACTAGATCCGAGTAGATGTGTTGCCATGTCCTAATAATATGTACATATTTTGCATGCGACAGAAGCTCCATGGAGGCCCCCAATTCAAAATTACTGTACAAAAAATGTCAGCGTAATTTTTATAAAAGTGTGGAAGAACAAAACATGCGTTCAAAGTTGCGATTGTGCATATTTTGACCTCTGATAAAAGAGCCTAGAATGTAACGTGTACATGTATATGTAAATATAATCAAGAATACAAAAGATGCTTTATGGTACGAAATATATATAACCTAATTAAAATCTATCTAACTCAAAATCACCGGACCAAGATAAAATTTTCTTTTCCATTATTTTTTCGAATTTGCAAAATTGCAGGAGTTATTTCATTTTTAAAGCCACCAATAATAGCGCAGTATTTCTGCTCTATCGGACGAGTTTTTGTTATATTTTTGTGTTTGCAAAATCGCTGACATTCTATCATTGGGAAAAAGCAACCAAAAACAAATTCAGTGCGTGTTGTCGCAATCGCCGAGCCAAAAAGCAAAAGTTATTACAAAAAGTTGAAATTTTGTAACGCCCTGTAACTTTGATACGAAATCCCCTATGGTATAACTTTATATATTCAGCTATAAATATTTTATATACCTTATACATTTTTTTGCAGATAGTTCCTGGTCTTTAATTTAATACTTACAAGTTTCATTTGAATCACTTCCTGCTTTAGTGCCTATATCTTTACGGTCCCTATCTAAACTACTATCTTTTTTCAGTCTATATCTTCCTATCTCCTCTTGTCTTATCCTGGTAATTGTCTGACCATTTTGGTCCACATTTAGGCACTGAGGTATTATATCTTCCCTACCTATCTTTCTTAGGGCACTTTCTAAAATGTTCGTTTGGGCCTTGTTACCAGACTGAGACAGCCACATGCGTAGCATGGACTGTCCCTGTTTTGCAACACTGTCGGGATATTCTAAAAACATGTATTATATAAACTATGCAGTTAATTTTTTTTAAATAGTACGTTTACGTTCAGTTTTTAAAATTAACAATATTACCTAAACCTGAAAGGTGAGTTAAGGTTAATTCTTTGATATTTTAACACTCGGCCCACACCGGCTGCATTGTTAATACTTTATAAACTGAACGTACCTACTAGATTTGGAGTAATTTTTAATCATTTACCTGATTTAATCACATTTATTTCAGATGGACTTAGACCCAATTGCGTGGCAAGAGGTACCCAGTCTTCACCTAATAGGTTGCTCATATCGGCTAACCTGGGGTCTGGTCTGTAATAGTCGAAATTTTCTGATAGAAGGATGTGCTTCTTAATCGAGTCGTTATCTGCTAAAGATATAGTTTCAAATATTATATCGTCTGGGAGTACTATGTTAAGTATGCAGATCGGTTGTTGAGGAGGTTCTCCCTTTGGTACCTACAAAGATAATATAAATTAATGAATATTAATAATAATTTACATATTTAAAAAATAAGCTTTATAATAAGTTTCAACCATATTTAAATAAATACATACATATAAACCAGGTAACAACACAGATTCTTTTGTCTCTTGCAAATGAGAAAACCATTATTTAAAATACCTATTAAAATTAATGCAAAACCTTTTAATAGTCATAAGTTTAAAAATAAAATATTTACTAAAAAATTAAATTAGCGATATTAATAAATATTACGCAATAGAAATTCTATTTACATAAACATGCATCATGATGATTAATTGTAATAGTTGTATCAGTTTGCGGTAGAAAAAGCTAATCAAGAAGGTAATTATCAAAGACCGGATTTTAGGCCCTTAAAAATTGGAAATTAGGCAATAAAAACCTACATTTTAGGCCGAAAGTGCCTAAAATAGGCCTCAACCGGCGATATAAAATAAAAACAACACGATTAATCGTAACATTTATTCAGGTCCTATGAATAAAAAAAAAACAAAAAAAAAAACACATGTCTCTTAATATAAAACTAATAATAAAAATAACACAAACTCTTGCAAACAATTGCCTGTATGAATAAAGAAAAGGAAAACTTGCAAATATATATATATATATATATATATTGGCATATATAATATAATATAAAACAATATTTCCTAAAGTAATGCGTTGATTTTGAAAATTGAATCACCAATTAATTCATACTTCAAAGTTGTTTCGATAAAAAAAATTATAACCTTCAAAATTGGCATGCTAATATATTTTTTATGTTAATATTTATAAAAAATTGTAAAAAATTGTGTTTTTCATCGAAATTTATAACGAAAAAAATAGTGTATACAAAAGAAACGTTATTAAATAGAATTGTATTCAGAGAAAAAATGAATATCCTCTAGAAATGGAGATATAAAACCATTTGTAAGGCGGCCCCCTGCACTGGCGCGCGCGACAAAACGGGTAGTCGCGATCGATAAGAAAATTATTAACTTCAAAATTTGCATGCAAATATATTTTTTATGTTTATATTTATACAAAATTGTAAAAAATTGTGTTCTTCATCGAAATTTGTAACGAAAAAAATATTGGTTCAACCGACCTGATGACATTTTAGCTTCATGTTTGTTTGGAGTTTTATAATAATTTGACTTTTGAACTAAACTGCGCACCACGCAATGTGTCGCGACTAGTGTCGAAAAAAAACCGTAAAAATTGGGAAAAAAACTGTTTTTCCGTTTTCTCCCAGGCCTTGGAAAAATTGTCTTATTTGGGAAAAATTGAATTTTTTTTTGGAAAACACACATTTGAAAAAAAGTAGCAATCAACAACTTAACATTATTTTAAATTAAAAAAATCCTTTATTACAAAAAAATAAAACTAAAGATTAAATTAAATTTAAGAAAATAAATGTAAACGTGAAATATACTGTCTGTTGGGTTTTTTGTTGCAAAAAGGACTCCATTAAAAATATCTAACTACAAAATAATGAATGATTTATAAAGTTAAATTACAAAATTATAATTTTATAGATCGAAGTGTTAAATAAAAGTTATGTTATATTCTTACTAAATTAAAATAAAAGGAATAATTATTATAATATTATAATAATATTATTATAATGAGCGTCGGAAATTTTTCTCGATATCAAAAAGCATCAAATTTACTAAAAAATCATATTTTCGTTGCGAAAATTCCAATTCGAAAAATTTGAAAATCGTTTCAAGGTAAGACATAAATAGGTAGTTTATTAGTTCAAAGTAAAAACAAGAAAAAAATATTTTTTTAAAAACGGGGCTTGGATGAAATTATTAAAAATTTTCACCGTTTTACATATCACCCTGTGGGAAATTTCCTTGAAGAACCGTGAGCTTTATATCTATAGCAGACATCACAGACCAAAATAAAATCGTTCAAAAAAAAAAGTTATGTCGTTTTGAAAAAGGACAAACTTTTTGGTCGCGACACATTAAGTGATGCGCAGTTTAGAAATATAAAGAAAATATAGATTTAATATGAAAATTATTATACGCTTGAAAAAAAAATAGGCATCCCTTCGATGGTAAATCAGTGACTCGTCTTGTTTTGGATCTGGGATCTGCATGTTTTGTGTGGTTTAATTTGTCGTAACAATAATACTTTATTATTAAGAACGATACAGGGTTTTCTAAGAAAACTTTTCTTAAAGTAAACGGGTTTATAATAAATTACTTTTTCGTCTAAACTATACATAAAAAACAATTTATGATAAAATGACTTGTTTTTTAAACTTGTATAACCTATTAAATATCTGTAAACTTTGAAAACACCCTGTTACTTATTATGTAAATATAAAATATAATCATGTGAAACTTTTAAACATATTTCTTTGTATATTTACAAAAAATAGTATATTACATTACCTTCGATTCCTTCATAAACAAACATCTGCTGACTGCTTCAGCATGCTGATCTTTCACTCTCACCGAAAAAGGTAGTCTATTCTCCCGGAACGCTCTAAAAGAGAACTGCAATTGTTCTCCGCTCTTCGTCACTGGCACCAAGTTTCCTGCAAACTCTATGTACTGGGGTTTGCCTTCGAGTACCTCCACATCCCTGCTTTTTGCAACTTCTGTAAAGTGCTCCTGATGTTCGAGGGTTTTGTCTTCTTTATCGTCTGTCATGCAGAAGACGCGGAGACGGGCCTCTAGGGGGTCTATCCGTTTCGCAAATACGACGAATTTTGCCATGAAAGGAACATGGATTGCTTCCCTAAAAATATATATGACATTTAAACCAGGAACGATTAATCTTTTAGCTTTCGAAGTTCAAGATCAAAAGATTATTTATTTGTATCTTTTTATAGTTAATTAATATGAGTCTTTAGTGAGAACCTTGAAAACCAAATGTTTGACCCACTGCATCGTTTAAGTAAGTAAGTAAGTTGAAACTTTTCTTGAAATATAAATATTTTCTATTAAAGTCTATAATATTGGTTCTAGGTGATTTGACGTATGATTTAAATACACATTATTTAAATTAAAAAAAACTTTTTAAAAGAAACAGGTTCCAAATAATTTGTACAGGCTTAGTTTTGCAGAGACCGAAAAAAATGATAATCCGAAGGTTTGGGCTAGATAGTGAATACTCCAATAAACTTTCACTTTTAAATCAGGTGACACCCAAATATCTAGTTTATTCTTTTATACAGCCATCTAAAAATGGTTCAAATCTATTTAGTTGATTTCCCTATTATTATAATTATTATTATTATGATTATTATAATAGAGATTCTTCATTGAGGGACCATATATCGCCAAAATCGGCGAGAAGTTCTCTTAATACCTAATTAGGAGAATGAGCTCTGAATGTGGTCAGAGAAGGACGCTATCTTCTTAAAATTTTAGATAGAACAACCAAAAAGTACAATAAAAAATAAAGATATTTTTAATACTTTTATTATTAAAAAAATTCCCTAAATCTAGTTACTTACTTTATTGTAATGGTTCTATAATTTAAAGAGTTTATTTAAAAATGTTCTGGAGAAATTTTTAAGAACAAAAATTTCGAAAACCTCTTGGTACAGAAGTGTATTACATACCTACTAACAAAATCATCATGAAAAATTCATATAAAGTTGGTAGCTAGTATAAAAATTATAAAATCTATAATTCAATTTCAGATAATTGAAACCATTTCACTTAAGGTTCTTAACAGAACATAAGATGTCGCACTATAGAAAATCTAGCTCTGTCTCCCATCAAACATCCAGAATTTTTTTATTTATAAAAATAGACTGCTACAATTTTGTACATATAGGTACAGTAAAGCCATCTGTCTTAACAGCGATCGCCGCGGTTCTACACCGCAATGATCGCTGTCAGTACAGTACTGCTTACGGTTTCTTAATCGCTGTCTGAGGCCGTACGGATTACTGTGCAAATCCGAATCTTTACTGTCAGAATAGCGGTTTCTTCCGACTAAATTGAGAAGCAAACTGCGATTTCTGTCCGAACAGAAATGACTACTGGCTAGACAGCAAAAAAGCGCTATTTTTTCTTTGTGTTAACTATTTTAACTATTAATTCTCAAAGGAAATATTTTTATTCAAAATTGTGAAGATATTTTCTTTTGTATGGACTTACTTATAAAGCTCTGTTGCCATTTTTGTGGCGTCTCCAATGTTTCTGCAGTCCATTAGCCAAAATCTGGCCGAAACTGTCGTTGTGAAGGATACACAATCATTAACAAACGTAAGTGGAGTTGATCCGGTAACGTCTTCCCATTGGGCTCTGGTTGTTCCTCCTTTTAAATAATGTTTTATTTAGATTTGTAAACAAACTAAGATTATTTAAGGTTTTTACTTGTTTAAACTGTAAATGCCCATTGACAGTTAATTTTTACTCATGCGATACTTATTTACAGTTTTATTTAGCGAAGCCTTGTCTTTGATTACATTAATTAATTTACCTTTTTACCTACTTTTGTTCCAAAAAAGATCAACATGCTCTACTAATTTTTAAAACATATATTTTAATATATTAAATAATATGAAAATTTTAAAAACGACCATTAGAAACCATTAGTTAAATCCACCACATTCGTTAGCACTGAACCAAGACCTCTAAGACGTTTAGTAACATAAGTTATATGTTATGTGAAATGAGAAAATTCCCCGATCAAAAAAACCATTCGGGTTTTATTGATTTTTAGTTTCTAATTTGACATCATATAGGATTTTTTTCGGTGCAAATAATTACTTACTTTCTGGAGATCTTGGCAGTACACCGATGGGGCCAAACTTCGGTCCGGCAAAAAGCATACTTTAACATTCAACAGGCACACATCTTCCATGTGAAGCAAATGCAGTGTTTTAAAAGCGGCATTAAGCATAAGCATTTAATCGGTTTCAGAAAAGACCAGTCGAGTGGCAACTAACTTCCGAGTTAACATGATTTTTTTAGATGTTGTACATTCGTCTTTATTTATGAATTAATTTTACGACTGATCTAATGACGCATGTAAAGGGTAAATAAAAGAAGGAAACAGTTTTAAAAATGCAGCAAATCTATAAGGTGAAATTGCAATTGTGTTATCGTGATTTTTTAATAAATTTTAATTGAAAGTAAAATAAAATTAACGACTAGAGGCAAAAATAAATAAATCGGTGATTCCAGAGCTACTAGAAGATTTAAAATTGTCAATGACCTCCAAATGTTCTTGTTATGGGTTTGATTTGTTAACTTAGCTTAGTTCTCGGAAAGATCATGCAAAGATCTCATAAGCCAATGGATTTAATTTTATAATATAATCAGGTAATTTATCTTGCTTATGGGACAATTTAAAACTCCGAGGTATCTTTAGAATATACCAATAAAATATATAAAACGAAGTGAAAATACACAGTTGTCCTTAGTCGCATTTATTAAACAAAAACCACAATGAATGCATATTCTGATATGCAAAGGATCATACTTATATACAAATAATTGAATAATATCTAATCCTGAATACAAAGTAATAATGTTTATAATATAGGGCATTGATCGAAAGTGCTTTATAACAAAATAATTGATTCAAAAATATAGGTATAAAATAAAAATAACCAAACTGCGTACGTTCATTTCTCACATACCTAATAAAAATGATAAAAACAATTATTATAAGATAGATACATTCTAAAAGGGGGCAGCCCACAATATAGTTAGTTACCTTTGAGAGATCTTTTCCGAAACACCCCTGGGTACGCGCGTGAAAATTTTCAATAAGAGCGCATTAGTTTTTCTAAATTAGTGACTTATGACGTCATTATGACTATTTTAAATAAATTAAAAAAATGTTTAGCATTAAAAGCTTTGGTTTTATCTTTTAATGTATTTACATTTTACCAATAAATTGTGCCTTTAACGGACTAGCTATATACAATATTTATAAAAAAGTCATAATGACGTCAACTAAACATAATAAGCGCGAGGCTGGCAAACCTTTTGCTATCAAGTTTATAAACTCTTTAAAAGCATATTGTTTTATTTCATTGATAGAAAATTCTCTGTCATAGATAATCCCTAATGATACGTATCCTATTTTATTGATTATTTCAGGTATATTTTTGCGTTATAAATTTATAAATAATAATAATAGTTTTAAATTAGAATATCCGAATATTTTAAGCGAACCAAATATTAAGATAACTTAAAAAAATAATATTTATAATAAATTAACTTTCGGCCATTATTATAACCCGTTTTCTTATACGTAACTGTGCAAAAGTTGTTTGTGAACTTTTAGTCATTATATTTAAGACTATCATTAAGTCATCCGTCTTTCTAAATCATGGAAATTACTCTCTAAAAATAAATTAGTCAATAATGACCAATTGTCATAGCGAAAAAGCAGCCACTAATAATTCTCGTCAACAGCATTTTGTATCCCGGACATTTAGCAGTCAGTTCCTTTATAAAATTGTCCGCTGAATCCGAAAATGTCGACAAAAGTTATAAAAGTAGAACAGTTTTTGAGATATAGTAAATTTTCCATATAATATGGAATTGACTATATCTCAAAAACTGCTCTACTTTTATAATTTTTGACGGTCATTTCGGATTCAGGGATAATTTTACATAGTAATTGGCTGTTAAATGTCCAACAGCCAATTACTATGTAAAATTATAAGAAGATAAAATGTTGTATTCCATTCGTTTTAGACGTGTCTTTTTGTGCATCGCTCAATTGTACGCCTCGGCTAACGCATCGGATTTTAAACTTTGAGCTCAGCACAAAAATACTTGCCAGTCATATCCTTCTGTCCGTCAGTAAAAACCGTTTTTACCATGCTCGTAATGTTAAATACTGTATGACCGCAATATTAAAAATTATTAAATTCACAGCCTAAAAATTATTCTTATGGAACCAAAATAAACAATAGGGTGGAGTGAAAAGGTAAAAAAAAATTTTAATTCGTATTTCTTCTTTCCTGTATTATTTATTGTTGACCACATATGAGTACATTAACTATGCAAAAAATTTTGACTCTAGGACTTTATCTTCAGGTGGCGCACGCAGCAAGAAAAAAAACAAATTCTGTTTTAGGAGCGGATTTTTATCAATATACTGATAATTATTATGTCAATAGATTAAAACCAATATTGATCTTTTTTGTCCATGGTTTAGTATTAGTTATACTCCCATCAGATAGAGGCGCTCTCGCTATCAATCAATAAATAATTTTTGCATAGCGACTTAATAATCGAGCGGTTGCAAAATGCCTAAAACTCGTAAAAATTGGCGATGTCCTGTATTAGGTGAACCACAAAAAATTTCTGAAAACATGTTGCCGACATATAATGATATAATTAAATATTATTTGTTGGTCAGAAATGATTTGCTTGAATTAAATTGGCAAAGGCCATGTGATCAAAGATGTGTATAAAATTATTTCCTGTCATCGAGAAAATATGCAATAAATAAAACTTCGATTCATATTGTTAGCCATCAACAAATTGTGGCGAGGATGATTTCATATTACAACAAGTACAAGGGAGTTAAAAAACTTTTATTCTGCGACGAGTCCAAAAAACTATTTGATATTGCTATTTGTAAATGCAATTCAAAGAATTCGTGCAAATGTGCTTTTAAAATTTGGTTGCAACAGGATGTGATGGTAACGCGGTAAATAAAGGACATCGTTTGTCATCGTTTTACTGGAAAAATAACTTGGTCGCCCTCTACAGTGGTTTGTGTGTTTACTTCGATGGTACTTACAACGATAGGTAGTACAACAACAGGGCCGAAAAGTTTTTTAGGTGTCCAAGTAACATTTTTAGTTTTATTATGGTCTTCAAGAACGCTTTAAGACAAAATTTTGTTTTAAAGCGTTCTTGAAGACCATAATAAAACTTTGAAGACCATAATAAAACTAAAAATGTTACTTGGGTGGTAAAGAACTGGAGAAGTGCCTGAACTATGAAGTAGTGGATTTTGAAGCTAGCACAGTCCCTATGGCTTACGTGTACTAATAGGATTATTCGTTTATATGTGGGGGCAGCAAATCCATCCGCAAACCTAAAAGAATTGGAACCTTTTATCATGAAAGTAGTTTTACATAAAAACCAAGCCTACGTGCAAACATGGTCCTATTCACATATTTAATATGATTAATAGAGCATTACACCTCCAGAAAAACTTGAAGGCCTTGTAACTATAGTTATAAAGAATATTCAGCAAAATATACATCCCGAAAATCTATTAATTGCTATGTTACCTATAAGATATATATCTATCGATCAAAGAACTAGCATTGCGGAAAATATTAAAGGCCAGAAATGAATAAAAATGTTCGAGATAACGGGAATTAAAGCTTCCACAACTAAACACTGAAGCATTACATTTTTACGAGCTAGTTCACTGGGCGACAGAAAAGGTAACTGGACCACCTATGACTATGAAATACGATGACAGAAATTACCGATATGATTTCTTCGGGTGACCTTTTCCTATAGTATATATACTTTCAAAATTTTCCTTGTCACACCCAAGCAGTGGAAAAAAAGCTGTGTAAAACTGGTTATAACCAGTATACTGAATCTTCAGTCTCGGTTTGTGGATCGGGAGCAAGAGATGGTTTCATCAGAACAAGAATTAAAGGCAGAAAAGACTTACCAAATTTTGATACCAAATGTCAATATTTTCGCGAAAAAGATCTAATTTCTACAAATAAACACTCCTGAAGTTACTTAAAGCTTATACGTTTCACGTTAATTTTACTAAAATAAACTTTTTATTTATTAATAATGCTATTTTTATTACTTTGATTGAAGTCATATTTTTTAGATTTTTCAAAACTTTGAGATTGATGCGCCACCTCAAGATATTAAAAAATTATAATATTTTTTTGATATTTATTAATTTTACGCCTTTAGTCAACAATTAATAATACAGGAAAAATCAATTAATAAATCAAAAAAATCAATTAATAAATAAAATAAAAATATTTTTAAAACCCAATTGAGGTCCAGTGTAAGAACGAAGTATTTCCAAAGAATGCAATTTTACAGGAGATAATAAAAACGCTTCTTAACCTACTGGTAAGGAAAAATTTCACTCTGCAAATATTTTGTCAATTATTTTTTAATTATATTTAAACTACAGACTTTGTTATTTATTAAATAATGATTTGTTACGTAAAATTTAGGTAAATGAACCTAACAAACACCAATGATTGTCTTACTAAAAAGCGTGGTATCTTGCACAAATTAGGAAATTTTGAAAATTATTAAATAAAACTTAGGTGTTCTTTATTTTTATAAGTAATGACTATTTCCAACTTTAAATAATTTAAGAAAGAAAATAATTTTTTTTTAGTCATAAATAAAATTTGGATCAAAGTCTTTTTGGTTAGGTACTTTGATTTTTAATGACTAACAAATAAATATATGATCTATTTCTAGGTTTAGGCTAAGTTTATAACAATGTTACGTGTACCAATTTAGATTTATTAAATAACACACAGGAAATTATTTCAAATCTAATTTAATATTTTAAATCTTATAAACAAACCCGGGAAAATGGATAGATTCAATTGATGTTTTGTGTTAGAGCAAATCTAATGTTCAGCCAGATCTAATTGGATTTAAGCTGAATTGAATCTGAGCGTTTATTTTGAAATAATCTATTAGATTTAATTGTATCCAAACTGATCCAATTGAATTTAACATTTTTTTTAATAATGCGCCTAATCCAATTGGGTCTGATATTTTATTTCTTAATGTAATCAGATTTAATCAACTCTGTTGTTGTATGGGAATGTTAATATGATCCGGAATACATTAATTTGGGCTTTATGTTTACAAATGTAT